CTGCCAGTGTAGCTGCTGGTGGTGGATGTTGGTGGTGTGCTGGTTGCTGACGTCGATGCTGTGCTACTACCTGTGCTTGATGTGCTGGTGCTGGCAGTACTGGTCAGGGACGTGCTGGTGGCAAAGGTGCTTGTGCCAGTGCTTGTGGCAGAGGCGCTGGTGGACGAGCTGCTGATTGTGCTTGTCAAAGTGGCGCTGCTGCCAGTGTAGCTGCTGGTGGTGGATGTTGGTGGTGTGCTGGTTGCTGACGTCGATGCTGTGCTACTACCTGTGCTTGATGTGCTGGTGCTGGCAGTACTGGTCAGGGACGTGCTGGTGGCAAAGGTGCTTGTGCCAGTGCTTGTGGCAGAGGCGCTGGTGGACGAGCTGCTGATTGTGCTTGTCAAAGTGGCGCTGCTGCCAGTGTAGCTGCTGGTGGTGGATGTTGGTGGTGTGCTGGTTGCTGACGTCGATGCTGTGCTACTACCTGTGCTTGGTGTGCTGGTGCTGGCAGTACTGGTCAGGGACGTGCTGGTGGCAAAGGTGCTTGTGCCAGTGCTTGTGGCAGAGGTGCTGGTGGACAGTGCCGCGTCCAGAGTTGTAGTCCTAATCTCCACGGCGCTGTCCACGGGGCCCTCCGAGGTCGACAACACGAGGCCCTCCACAGTGGTATCCACGGAGGTCTCCACAGGGCCCTCCACGGTCGTCTCCACGGTGGTCTCCACAGCGCCCTCCACGGTGGTCTCCACTGGACCCTCCACGCTGGTCTCCACTGGACCCTCCACGCTGGTCTCCATGATGGTGGTCTCCACGGCGCCCTTCGCGGTGGTCTCCACGGCGCCCTCCACGGTGGTCTCCACGGAACCCTCCACAACCATCTCGAGCTCATAGACTGTGTAGCGGAAGATAACGCCATCGGACAGGTCGACACAACTGTCGAGCTCCAAGGCCTTCATGACAAGCTCAAGCGTTGGCGATATAAAAGTGGCTGCCTCAAATTCCTCGTCCGTCATATTCATGGTGTCCTGGTGGAACTTCGCGATCTCGTCGAAATATTCGTTGCGTGCATGCTTCGTCACAGCGTTGGCACGTTCGAAGTCCTTCTTGAAGTGTATGACAGCGCGCCCTGCATAGGCGAAACGGGCGATTGCCTTTCGAGACATTCTGGCCTTCTTCATCAACTTCACAGCAGCCTTCAGGGCTGTTCCACCAGGAACGATCGTGCTCAGGCAGACTTGAAACGCGTCGGATTCACGAGCAACCAGAACCGGCAGCCCAAAGAGCGAATCCTTCGAGTTGTCAAAGTAGAAGCGGAAGCGGTGCACAGAGCCGACTGGCATGCCCAGGAGGTTCGCCATTGCCATGTGCACAATGGAGGCGGGATGATCATCGAGGACCAGGTCCGTCTCGTGCAGGCTGATCCTGAAGGCTGAGTCATTAGGACAAATGATCTCAGCGACGTTTAGCCTGCGATCGCAAGCTCTGAATTGCATGATGTCGGTAACCACGGAGCGGCTCCCGCAAGTGATGGTCAGGGTTATCTCATCAGCAGCTGTTGAGCCGAAGAAATTGGCGAAGCTGTCAGTGGGCTTCGTCAGCAAGGACAGCTTTGTAGCTCGCAAGTGGACATCTCCTTCGAGATCTGCAGCAAGTGGGATCATCTCGTTGCTGTCATCACCCACAGCCTCGATGCCTGGAGGTTCGTAGGTCTCCCCAGGGTGCTCGAACTCCTCACCTGAGCATATGGTGCGCCGGCAACATGCATGATGATCGTCAGGACAGGAGAGCACACTGGGACTGACCCCACGCGCACACTCGAACTCAGCCCCTAACAGGCCACAGTCTTCATTTTTGTGGCAAATAAAGCCATCGAAGGGCCAGCAAATGTCCATCGTGTCCAAGGTCTGGCACTTGATGTCAATGTGCTCCTGTTTGCAACAGGGATTGTCGGCGCACGGCTCCTCACCCACGCAGTTCACCGCCCCAAGGGCGTACATTCCAGAATGAACTGAACAGTCATCGTCCGATGAGCAGCTGAAGCCCCTGTATGGCCAGCAGTAACTGTTCTCGCACTCTGGCACCTCCACTCCGCAGCAATCTGGGGTGTCTTCAAACCAAGCAGCATTGCCAGCCCATGGGCAGCTGTTCTTCTTGCAGAACGTCGCATTGCGAACCGCCATGCTCTCATGGCTATAGCAATCCTTATCGCTGTCGCAGTCGAAGCCCTCTTCAGGCCAACAAACCTGTCCTGAGGCATCACAGAGTTCATCAGTATGACTGGTTGTGGTACTGCTGGGCGGCATGGTGGTTGTGGCGCTGCATTCGGTGGTGGGCTTGGAGATGACACACGAACCGGAGGAAGAGGAGCATGTCGAGCTGCAGTATGGTAGAAATGGAAAGGGCCAGCTGGCATTCCAGCCGGCAAACTGGAGATGGGCTGGCGATGAGCAACAAAACATTCTCTGCCTGGACAGCTCCCTGGCCCAAGGCCAAAGGGGAACTTGCTGGGTGAAAGAGTTGGCCATACAGAAAATGCAGGGCATGCGTGTCACCTTGCTCACGTCCCAGCGGCGCAGGTCCTGGTTGAAAGTGACGGCGGCCTGGAACATAGAGCTCATGTCTCGCACCTGGCGCGTGTCCCAACTGCCAATGTCCTGGTTGAAATCGAAGGCACCATGGAACATGCCGCTCATGTCTGTCACCTTGCTCGTGTCCCAGCTCCAATGTCCTGGTCTCACCTGGCTCGTGTCCCAACTGCCAATGTCCTGGTTGAAACTCCTGGCAGATGAACATGCCGTCATGGATGTCACCTGGCTCGTGTCCCAACTGCCAATGTCCTGGTTGAAATCGATGCACCAGAACATTTCGCTCATGTCTGTCACCTTGCTCGTGTCCCAGCTGCCAATGTCCTGGTTGAAATCGATGGCACCATTGAACATGAAGCTCATGTCTGTCACCTTGCTCGTGTCCCAGCTGCCAATGTCCTGGTTGAAATCCCAGGCTCCACGGAACATGCCGTACATGGATGTCACCTGGCTCGTGTCCCAACTGCGAATGTCCTGGTTGAAGCAATGGACACCATGGAACATGCTGCTCATGTCTGTCACCTTGCTCGTGTCCCAGCTGCCAATGTCCTGGTTGAACTTCCTGGACTTGTAGAACATATGGCTCATGTCTGTCACCTGGCTCGTGTCCCAACTGCCAATGTCCTGGTTGAAATTCTTGGCACTCATGAACATGGAGCTCATGTCTGTCACCTGGCTCGTGTCCCAGCTGCCAATGTCCTGGTTGAACCTGAAAGCAGCCCAGAACATTTCGCTCATGTCTGTCACCTTGCTCGTGTCCCAGCTGCCAATGTCCTGGTTGAAATCGATGGCACCATTGAACATGAAGCTCATGTCTGTCACCTTGCTCGTGTCCCAGCTGCCAATGTCCGCGTTGAAAAACCGGGCTCCATCGAACATGCCGTACATGGATGTCACCTGGCTCGTGTCCCACTCGCTGATGTGCGCCGCGTACAACTCCTGCGCTTTCGCTGCATCTGCCAGCCAAGCATCAACTGCTGCCTTCAACTCAGAACGGGAGTCCGGAGCAAACGCGGTGGCGCAGACTGCCCAGGCTGCTACCTGGAGGAAGCGCGCGGCCATCATCCCACTCTGGCACCCTCAAGTCTCCCTCAGCTCGAACCAATGCCAAGGCTTCGTGCAAATATGGATTACACGCGAGCTCTTCCGAAGTTTACCCGTTGGCAACAGGCTTTATAAAACTCAGCAGATCCCTGTGTGCAGCCAGCTCGCAACCAATAGCTTTACTCGTTTGGAAAACTGTCAGCATCCCGGCCGCGGAGAAAGTTATACCGCAGGGGGTCAGGAATGAAGAGGGTGCCTGAATGTGCCTGAGGCCCCGGCAGAATCTGTATTGTAGCAGGAGGTACCATCAGCAAAAGTACAAAAGGGCCTTCGCTACCTGCCACAGCCCAGGCTACTGGATGGACAACTGCAGCAACTGCTGCTTCAGGCAGATTCAAGCAGGGTACAGCAGGTTCCACGACAGCTCGAAACCAGGTACCTAAAGCTGCCCCTGCCTAGCCAACTGCAGCAGACCTCAGACACTTCAGTTCAGTGGCTCCACTCGCGGAGCTCATGTAAGGCTTGCGCACACGCTATTGACCTAAAGGAAACCACCCACAAGCCAAACAAGGGAACTGCTCGGAAACACAAAAGCGTGAGCAAGACCGTTCAGGGCACCTGCTCAGCCAGCTTCAGCCAGCCGCGAGCGTGGCCCTTGAACCTGAAGTAGCGCTGTCCTTGGCTGCGAACCTTCTCGAGGTTCTCTTCAAGCACTGCAATCGCCTCTGCCTTGGTGGCCACAGCCCGACAGAAATTCGTCCAGGCAAAGATGATGGTACTTTGCGTGGAGGCCTCGCCCGCATGCTGCGCCACCGCCAGCTGCTGGCAGAAATCGTGCCACAAAGTCTTGGCGGAAGTTTCCATGTTGTTATTCGAAGCCTCCTCGACCACCTGCGGCCTTGGGAAGATGGTGGTTCCAGGCGCCTTCTGCTTCAGGAACACCTCGTCCACCGCGACGAGCAAGACCAGGAGCTCCTCTGCAAGACGACGGCGGAGATCCGGGTCGTACTTGAAATCAGTCCGAACTGGACGCTCATTCGCCTTGATGGGGTTCTGCACAAACTTGAAAGGCCAGGGCACCACTGTGAGCGATCGCCCGATTCCTCCGTCTGTAGACGTGAATCGCACCTCGACATTGCTGGACATGTTCAGCAGAAAGCGGGGCTGGAATGTCACGTTGCTCTTGTACAAGTTTCGGCAAGTGATCTCCGAGGTCGGGTCACGGAGGGTCTTCACAAAGCCGCTGCGTACCTTGGATGCTCCCTCGGCTTCGGTCACCATCAAGAAGCGCCTTGCGCGAATCTCCAGCAAGTTGGGGGTGGCATTGCTCGGGTTGAAGGCCGTGCAGAAGGTGTCCATGCCTGAGCCGCGTGTTTTCGTTTCTCCATAGCTTTAGGGTTTAGGGGTTATAAGGTATAGAAGCTTCAATAAAGCTCCAAGACTCTCAGGGGGTGCGGGCAGGTCGCTGGGCAGGTGGCAGTACTCGCCAAAGAGCGTGGCCACTATCTGCGTCCACAGGCCCTTGCCGTTCGCGCCCTCTCCCATGTGGATGAGGAACTCCTCGTAGCCCTCCCTGCAGAACAAAGACCGCGCGGTCTGCTTCAGGATGAAGGTGACCATGGGCCACGACTCCCAAAACGAGTACAAGACTTGCACGACCTCCAGGCGCTCTGCAAGGTCCTTGAACGTCTCGGACAGCATCACCGGGTAGCCGTTCAGCGGGGCCGTGAGGAAGCCCTGCTCATACGCCTTCGCCCGCTCGAAGACTTGCTTCAGCTCGTCCGCCCACTTCGCGGCAAGCTCAGCGGGGTATTCGAGGCCAGCCCTGCGCGTGATGAAGAGGTCCCTGCGGCCACGCTCCACCAGCTTCGTGTCCCGATCAAGCGTCAGGCCGCCGCGGAAGAGAACATAGCGATCAGTCTCCTTCGCATCCATGGAATCCATAAAGGACTCATCGTACATCTGGCCCACGAAGAATTCCGTTGCCTGTAGCATGCACCCAGACTTGCGGGTCCACGCCGGCGGAAAGACGTCTACCTTCCAGCAGCCGTCCACCACCTGCTGGGCTGCCTCCACCAGCCGGTGCTTCACTTGATGCTTCGTGTGAATGTGCCAGCAGCGAGAGTCCTCGTTGAATGCAGCAACTTCGATGTCGCGGGCGTCTGCCAGCGTCCGGAAGACTTCGCGGCACGGCACCGCGGAATTGTCGGGAGCGGGCTGAGCTCCGATGAGCTCGCCGACCAGCATGTCCGGCTGGGACCTGCCATCCCGCATGTAGTACTTCAGCTGTAGGCGCTTGTGCTCGAGCTGATACGCATCCAGGTCTTGGGTGTCCCAGTCCAGCTCTGGGTGCTCCTGCCTGAGCAGCTCCCAAATCATCGCCTCCGATCTGTACGGCTTCACAGCAAACTCCAGCCCGGTCTGTTGGCGTGCCCCATCCACGAGGCGCTGCTTCCAAGCGTCGTCGCCGACCCCACTTGGGTCCAGCACGGCCACCCCGTCATGCTCATAAGAAACGATGCTACCGGTGTCGGGGGTCGTTCTCAGCCACTCTGCCACCTTGTCGATCGCAGCCCGCTCGTCCACCTCGTACAGCCGCTCTTGGAGACTAGCTTCCGGATAGCGCGTTCCCCTTCGCCTCAGCTCTTGCATTGCCTGAGGGTGATTGGCGGCGTCCTGCCTCCTGATGGCCTGTTGCTCGCCCCAGAACTCGTTCAAGAATGGGCTGATGGTCACGCCGAAGTCCGTCGCCATGGTCTGCAAGTGGCGGGCGCCGCCGCCACAGATCAAGCCGTTGAAGGCTTTCTTGGCAGCCTCGCAGACTAGTTGGTGTTATACAAAAAAACAGGATTAGTAGTAAAAAAACACAATTTGAGAAGGTAGGCGCCTCCCGACTGCAGGCGAGCTCTTGGTAGCAGGCATCGCGGTCCTTGACAAGACGCTCCAAGCACGGCTTGTCCGGGTGCCGTCTGTTCTGCAGCACCGGCGCCGCGTGCACGATGTCGAGGTCTGCGATGGGCAGCGCCGCTCGCCCGAGCTCCTTCACGATCTTGTCCATGGAGAAGAGGCCCCGAGTAGCTTCAAACGGGGACAGCCCCTGCTTGTGCGCGCGGCGACACACGCGCGGCGCCGAGCAGTCGTCATCTGTCAGCTGCTTGGCTCCGCTGTAGCGGCGCCCTGACTTGCCCTTGAGGACCGGCAACGCGCGATACATCACCTCCAGCTCCTGAGTGTCGCCCCCTAAGAGACTCTGGAGGTCGCAGCGGAAGAGAATGTTGAACAAGTCCTCGCGCAGGTTGAGGGACCAGGCGGCACGGCATTGCAAGAGGCGCCGCAAAGCAGCGCAGTTGACTGGCTCGCACAAGCTGTCCACCGCCTCGCCGTCTGCGAGGCTGTCCTGCTCTGACCCATTTCCAGGTCCGTGGATTCGCATGCGCTTGGCAACGCTCCCCTCCGCGACCTCCTCCTGCCTGACCTCCTCTTTGGGCTGCTCAGCCTCTTTCTCCGCCTGCTTCTCCGCCTCCTCTTTGGGCTGTTCATCCTTTTCTTCGGCGTCTGTTGCCAGGCTCGTGGCAGACTCTTCACCCTCAGAAGCATCGGGCATCACCATTGGAATCCCTGCACGCACAGCTGATGGCTCCATGTCGGCTCACACAAGCCTACAGCACGTTCACTTCACTCTTGCTCCAAAACTCTGGGACGCGCAAAGAAAACTTGAAAGATTGCAGCGGCGTCAAAAAAAAAACAGCGGGCTAAAACGTGGGTGGCTCATGGCGACACTGATGCCCTACGCAGGCTTAGCACTGTTTTGGTGCTCCTGCGCAACGCCCTGTCACTGTGCAAAGCAGGCCTGTACTAGCGCATCAGAGTATATGCACCTGTTCAATGAGCGGGGGGGTCTGACGCGCGATGCCCTGCTAATTGCAGGCAAAGGCCCGCGCAGCCCCCGACAAGGCGCCGCCGGCTGTATCCAGCAGCGAATGCAGCGAATGACAATTACCCCCGCACAGGCTGGCCCTCAGCTGTCGGGACACGAATTCTCCAGGCTCTCCCCTCGTGATTGCCCGTCTGCGCCGTCTGCAGCCCACGGAACATGTCCGCGGCGGATTTCCCTTTTCGGAGCGGGTGTGCAGGCACGATGATGATGAGGCGCTTGTCTTCCCCCACACGATAGATCAAGGGCTGCAGCTCATCGCATCTGAAGTTCACGACACCCTTCGTCGTGACGACGGGAAGCTTGAACTTGCGCCTCTGTTTTGGCGCGCGCCCCTCGAACTCGGCACGTGCCATGCACCAGGTCACATCGTCGACGGGCCAGAAAATCATGTCCTCGGGGTGCTCCGCACGCACGACTCTGTCCAGCGCGCCTGGGGCGAAGCACTCGACGAGGTCCTTTTTGAGGTTACCCGTGCGGTTGTCAATGTGGTCGAGGTTCTCGATTTTGGCCCAGAAGCTGGCAACATCCTCCTCCGCGGCCCGGATGCTGCGGTCATCGAAGGCCCTGTTGCGCGCGTAGAACTCCGCTGCGGGTGCCAACATGCTGACGGCACACAGACCGTTCGGGGGCTACACTAGAGTGGTCTAAAACCCGTGCAAACTGCGGATGTAACAGCGCAAGGCACGGTGTGCTGTCGGTGCAGGAAGGCCCTAAAAAAAACCTAGGCCAGCCCTACCTAAACCGCGGGCGTCACACCTAGAAGAGGGGCCTACCACACGCCTAGACTGGCAACCCTCCAAGCAGAAACCCTTGCATACACTTCTGCTGGCGCACGGACTTGGGGTCTGAGGGTTTGGCTCGCAGTGAAGACGAAGTCGACCAGCTGCCAGGACCTGGGAAGCAGACAGGGGCCGGGGCTCCCGGAAAGGGCGAGGTCGCAAGGTTACGGGCGGGGAAGACAGCGCAGGGCACTTCCGAGGCGCACACAGACAGAAGAAACCCCCACTCAAGTCCGAAAAAGAACCCTCTGCCGACTCTGTTGAGGCGCCTGCGTGAAGCCAAGATGGTTTACACCTGGGCGGTAAGGAAGGCTTCCAGGGCACTCAATCTAGTTACGGGGCAAGGGGGGTGCAATCCTAATACACTTGCGTCCAGCGCTCCTACCTGCATTCCTACAAATGCGCTCCGGGAATAGAGGATGGTGTGAAGACCTGGGCACGGGGGGCGAAGGGGTGGGGTGGGTCCTCAAACCCCACGCCCGAGAAAAGCCAAGCCCTCGACACGAAAGAGGATCTCCAGGCGCCCCCGCTCCTATGTATTGTCTGTTGGCCTGCTCTGTCTGCTGTGTCTGCTGCGCCTGCTGCATCTGCTGTGTGTTACAGCCCTGCTTCCGCGCCTACATGTCCCTCAGAGAAGGGCGCGGTGCGGGTGCAAAAAACGTGAAAAAGCAAGCCATGCAAAGTCGTGTCCATGGTTCAGGGTTTCGGGCGCCCTTAGGCTGCCGCGGCAGCATAGTTCAAAATCAAGCAAAATAGCAAGCAAAAAAAACGCCAAGTAAAATCGAACGCAAAAATGAAGCTCATGTCTGTCACCTTGCTCGTGTCCCAGCTGCCAATGTCCGCGTTGAAAAACCGGGCTCCATCGAACATGCCGTACATGGATGTCACCTGGCTCGTGTCCCACTCGCTGATGTGCGCCGCGTACAACTCCTGCGCTTTCGCTGCATCTGCCAGCCAAGCATCAACTGCTGCCTTCAACTCAGAACGGGAGTCCGGAGCAAACGCGGTGGCGCAGACTGCCCAGGCTGCTACCTGGAGGAAGCGCGCGGCCATCATCCCACTCTGGCACCCTCAAGTCTCCCTCAGCTCGAACCAATGCCAAGGCTTCGTGCAAATATGGATTACACGCGAGCTCTTCCGAAGTTTACCCGTTGGCAACAGGCTTTATAAAACTCAGCAGATCCCTGTGTGCAGCCAGCTCGCAACCAATAGCTTTACTCGTTTGGAAAACTGTCAGCATCCCGGCCGCGGAGAAAGTTATACCGCAGGGGGTCAGGAATGAAGAGGGTGCCTGAATGTGCCTGAGGCCCCGGCAGAATCTGTATTGTAGCAGGAGGTACCATCAGCAAAAGTACAAAAGGGCCTTCGCTACCTGCCACAGCCCAGGCTACTGGATGGACAACTGCAGCAACTGCTGCTTCAGGCAGATTCAAGCAGGGTACAGCAGGTTCCACGACAGCTCGAAACCAGGTACCTAAAGCTGCCCCTGCCTAGCCAACTGCAGCAGACCTCAGACACTTCAGTTCAGTGGCTCCACTCGCGGAGCTCATGTAAGGCTTGCGCACACGCTATTGACCTAAAGGAAACCACCCCAAAACAGCCGCCGATCCACAAGTGAGTTCCAGGACATGGTGTCTGTGCGGTTTTGAAGCCATAAGGGATGGTCTTGTGACGCTAGCGATCATAAGGGCACCAGGAAGCATCGAGAGAACGCCGACGGAGCATGCAACCAACGATTGTTACTAGCTGTTACAAGGACATTGGTGGTCTTGGGGCTACTGCATTCTCCACACTGTGGTCGCCCCTCGCCCCCCTTCCTTTTTGGACACATTAAGGTCTTGGGCTCGGAGATGATGTGTTACATTGTAGGATTAGCCAATTTGTACGCAAGACCGCTGTGGCTGAGGGGTACTTCAGATCTGCCCGGTCAGATCTGCTACGCGCCAAGCCTCTAGTTCTGTCTACTGCACCAAGCATACCAAGCCTTGCAGGGATGCAAGAGGCGGTCGTAGATGCAAGCCTGCCTCAGAGCGCAGAAGTGAATTCAAAGTGCACTGTGCAGGAAGTCCCTGCACTTTGAGTGAGGCGGTGCCTTTTGTCTGCTGCAATACTACAAATCTTACTGGCCAGTTTCTGGTGCCGCGGAGTCACCCAAATTCAGGGGAAGCCTGATCGCCGAGTCTTTGGTAGGCTCTGCTGCTGCAGCCAACCCTGGGCTGGTGGGCCAGGGCTGGGACGGTCTACAAGCACCCTGACGATGATTACAGTTATAGTCAGTATTGTTGCCCTAATTAAATAAGTACAATCCTACACAACAGTCCCAAGCGCCGTTCACTTTCATGCCTCGATCCAGACTCCTTAAGTCTACACATCTACATTCATGCTTCCCCCCCCCCCCCCCCCCCCCCCCCCCTCACCCCGCCCACCGCATTTAGCTCATCATTTAGCTCATTTTTAGTGTTTGCTGACGCCTGTCAGCTGCTGCTGCTCTGCTTCCTCATGTGTGGTAGTAGTTGCGGGGGGGAGGGTGCTTCGAGCATGACCAGGAGAAGTTGGGGCATAAGGTCTCCCAGCTTCCACTTTTCCACTTTCCACTTTTCCATGTTTTTGGAGTCCAAGTTTCCATTTCTCATGTCTGTCCACGCTCCATCCTTCCACCTCAAAAAATGGAAAAGTGAAAAGTGGAAAAGAGGAAATGGTGAGTCTTGAGCCCCAACACAGAATAATCAAAAGTGCAATAGATTTGCAATTATATTTGATTTGGCAGAAATGAAATGAATGATAATATTCTTCACCAAGAAATCTTCGCCCATATAATTCCAGAAAAGAAGACCTTCCGAGAATGTCTCTTTAGAAAATTCCCATCATACTTGGTTTGACAGGAATGAAATGAACAAATCAATATTCTTCATCAAAAAATCTTCGCCAAACGAATCCAGAAAAAATCTCTAAAAAGGCAAATCTTCAGAGGATCTCTTTCTAGGAGATTTCAAATCATATTTGATTGATTTGGCAGGAATGAAATGAATGACAATATTCTTCACCAAGAAATTTTCGCCCAAATAATTCCATAAGAAATCTCTGAGAAGAAGGTCTTCAGAGCATTTCTCTCTAGACAATTCCGAGCATATTTGGTTTGACAGAAGTGAAATGAATAATCAATATTCTTCATCAAAAAATCTTCGCCAAACGAATCCAGAAAAATCTCTAAAAAGAAGATCTTCGCAGGATATCTTTCTAGGAGATTTCCAATCATATTTGATTTGGCAGAAATGAAATGAATGATAATATTCTTCACCAAGAAATCTTCGCCCAAAAATATTCCAGAAGAAATCTTTGAAAAGAAGATCTCCAAAGAATTTATCTCTAAGAAATTTCTATTTTTTGGTTTTGCAGAAATGACATGAATGATTAGATTCTTCGAAAAATATCTTTGCCAAATCGGCCAACCTGATCCTGAGCAACGCGGCGACGATCGAGCTGGAGTGCGACTGCTACTCCAAGGCTGAATCCGATGCCAAGTACGCCCTCATCGGGGCAGCGCCGGCCGACCCACTGCTGGTAAACGATGTGCAGACCAACGGAGCCGACTTCCTGACGCTGCGGGGCGGCACGCTGGGCATCGAGTTCAAGGCCAGCAACGGGGCCGCCGTGGCCGATCCTCGAGCCAGTTTAGCCTCAAGACGGGCGTGAACATGTTGACCATGGGCCATCTTTGCGGACTCCAGCCTGGACGTCGCCACCGTCGGCAGCTTCTAGGGCACAGTGGAGCCCCTGCTTCCGACCGACCAGTTTCTGAACCTGAAGGTGGGCACCGTCTCCGTTGGACGTGCAGGGCACCGTGACCTCGGGCAGCGTGGAGCTCTCCACGGGCTGCAGGGCGCCCACGGTGCGGGCCAGAGCGACCGACTACCTGACTGACGGGCGCCGTGCAGGGGGACCTACCTCAACTCAGTGCTCTACACTGCGAGTGCGAGGCAGACAACGGCGTCGTCTTGAGCCCCCTGCCTGGAGCTCATCGGCGGCAGCACTGGCGTGCAGGCAGGGCGACCTCCAGGTCGTGTCCACCGTCAATAGCGGGAACGTGACGGCGGAGGTCGTCAACCTTGCATCCGTCGGCAACGCAAAGCTCAGGCTGGAGTATGGCTTGGGCGAAGAGGAGCTGGAGGCGTGCAGCTGTTCGCGTCGAACAAGCTCCAGCCCGAAGGTGGTCACCACGTCGGAAATCACCTCTCGGCGGCCGCGGCCACCGCTGCAGGAGGTCTTTGACGCGGTCATGCCCCCAGTGGTACAGAGGGCCAGAAGCGCACGCTGGGCTTCATCGCGCAGGACGTGCAAGAGACGGGCGCGGCGGGCAAGGCGTTGTGCGGGCAGATCACGGACGAGGAGCGGGGGAACTTGGTCACGCTTGACATGGCTTGCGTGCTCTGGGGCGTCTGTAAGAAGCTGCAGGCGCGGGTTGAAGCGCTGGAGAAGACGGAGCCGCTCGTAAGCACGGCCTGGAAGTAAATGGAGCGACACCAAGCGGCGCTGGACCTACTGCGGCGGCTGGCGGAGGACTTCAACGTTCGCGATGCCCGAAAGCTGCACAAGCTCGCGAGGTGCGAGTTCTCCAAATCTGGACCTGACCTTCGACAGGGCCCAGGCGGTGCTGCGGCAGGACGTGGCCCGGCAGGTGCTGGCGCCGAAGCCGCGGAGCCTGGGCAAGAGCGCGGCCGCCGCCCAACGACCGCCTGCAGGCCGACCTGATCGACTTCAGCCAGAATACCCGCAGCAGGAACCGCTACGGGGTGGTGACGTCTTCACCAGGGAGGCGGCCACAAAGGCCTCCCCAGCAAGGACGCGAAGACGGTGGGCCAGGCGGCCCGGGAGCTCATCCCGGTGCAGGACGAGGAGAACTGCGTGGTGACCACCGACGAGGGCCGGGAGTTCTTCGGGCTCGAGGCGGCGCTGCCGGAGGCTTACTTTCTCCGGTAGGAGTGCTGTGGAGTGTCGTACGGCAGGACTCTCAGAGTGTTGCGCGGTCGAACTGTCGTAGGACCTTTGCAGAAGTGTTGTGCGGTAGGACTCTCAGAGGAGGACTGTCGTAGGAGTGTTGTGCGGTAGCTCCCGTTTTCCCTGCCCAGTGCCGCTCTTCCAAGACCTCTTTCTCACGCGCGGGGCTTCAGAGCGCAGTGCAAATGCAGTTGCTCCTGAGTGCTTGTAGCAGGAGCGTGCTGCAGGCGTGCGGTAGGCGAGTGTTGCACGGTAGGAGCGCGGCAGTGCTGCAGTCAGGCGTGTAGGCGCCAGGCCCCTCCAACCCTAGGATTTCTTTGGGCTACCTTGTTTGCTTTCCGGGGACCCCCGGCTTCCTGGTCCGCTTGCCCAGGTGCTTGTGTCGCCGCAGTGGCCTCGAAGTGCAGCAGCAACAGTAGCAGGCAGCAACAGCAAGTAACAAGCTAAAGCAGGTCGCAAAAGTAGCAAAAGTGGCAGGTAGCAGTGGAGAGCTAGCTGACTTGCCTGATGTTGTTTTGCACGAAACACATTTTGGCGGGATCTTGATGTTTTGCAAGGCATGCGTTTTTGACATGTTTTCTGGGGGTTTTTTCACAGACTCGAATGCCCCTCGCCAAGCGTGGTTTACACTGCAATTCCAAGGTCTGCTGAACTTGCTCTTGTCGGATGGCCAGGGCCACGAAGTGACCGGAAGCGTTGGAGTTTCAGTGAAAATTCACAGGGGGCGGGTTGTGTAGGTTTAGGCGTGCGGCGTGCTAGGGGCTGCCGGTTTTGAACGTTTCTAAGCTTGTGTGAGAGCCCCCGCTGGATTTTTGACGTTGCTGCAAGCTTTCAAGTTGTCGTTGCGCGTCCCAGAGAGATTTGGAGCAAGACTAAAGTGAACGTGCTTTAGGCTTCGGTGAGCCGACATGGAGCCATCAGCTGTGCGTGCAGGGGTGCCAATGGCGCTGCCCTACTGTCCTTCTGAGGGTGAAGAGTCTGCCACGAGCCAAGAGGAAGTGGCAGCGGCGGCTGAGCAGCCCAAAAAGGAGGCAGCAGCGGCTGAGCAGTCCAAAAAGGAGGCGGAGCCCAAAGAGGAGGTCAAGCAGGAGGGGAGCGTGGCCAAGCGCATGCGAATCCACGGACCTGGAAATGGGGCAGAGCTGGACACGGCGAGACGGTGGACACGTTGTACGAGCCGGTCAATTGCGCTGCCTTGCGGCGCCTCTTGCAGAGCCGCGCCGCCTGGTCCCTCGGCCTGCGCGAGGACCTGTTCAGCATTCTCTACCGCTGCGACCTCCCAATTTGGGGGCGACACTCAGGAGCTTGTGGTGATGTATCGCGAGTTGCCAGGCATCAACGGCAAGAACAGGCGCCGCTACAGCGGGGCCAAGCTGCTTAAAGAGGACGACGGCTCGGCGCCGCCCGTGTGTGTCCGGGCGCACAAGCAGGGACTGTCCGAATATGAAGCTACTCGGGGCCTCTTCTCCATGACCAAGATCGTGAAGGAGCTCGGGCGGGCGGGGCTGCCCATTGCAGACCTGGACATCGTGCACGCGGCGCCGGTGCTGCAGCACAGACGGCACCCGGACAAGCCGTGCTTGGAACGTCTGGTCAAGGACCGTGAGACCTGCTACAAAGAGCTCGGCTGCAGCCGGGAGGCGCCTACCTTTTCAAATCGTTTTGCTACTAATCTTGTCTTTTAACTCCAACTAATTTGCGAGGCTGCCAAGAAAACCTTCAACGGCTTGATCTGTGGCGGCGGCACCCGCCATTTGCAGACCATGGCGAAGGACTACGGCGTGATCCACAGCCCCTTCTTGAAGGAGTTTAGGAGCGAGCAGCAGGTCATCAGAAGACAGGACGCCGCAGCTTACCCTCGGGTAATGGATGAGCTGCAGCGCAGGGGAGTGCGCTATCCGGAAGCAACTCTCCAAGAGCTGCTTCACGAGGTGGACGAGCGGGCTGCGATGGACCAGGTGGCAGAGTGGCTGCGCAAGAACCCCGACACCGGCAGCATCATTTCTCACGAGCATGATGGGGCGCCGGTGCTGGACTCCAGCGGGGTCGGCGATGACGCTTGGAAGCAGCGCCTCGTGGATGGGGCGCAGCAACAGACCGGGCTGGAGTTTGCCGTGAAGCCCTACAGGTCGGAGGCGATGATTTGGGCGCTGCTCAGGCATGAACACCCAGAGCTGGATTGGGACACCCAAGACCTGGATGCGTATCAGCTCGAGTACAAGCGCGTGCAGCTGAAGTACTACATGCATGATGGCAGGTCCCAGCCGGACATGCTGGTTGGCGAACTCATCGGCGCACAGCCTGCTCCCGACAATTCCGCGGTGCTGTGCCGCGATGTCTTCCGGACGCTAGCAGACGCCCGCGACATCGAAGTTGCTGCTTACAACGAAGACTCTCATTCTCACGAAGCATCAAGTGAAGCACCGGCTGGTGGAGGTGGCCCAGCAGGTGGTGGACGGCTGCTGGAAGGAAGACGTCTTTCCACCGGCGTGGACACGCAAGTCTGGGTGCATGCTGCAGGCCACGGAATTCTTCGTGGGCCAGATGTACCAGGAGGCCTTCATGGAATCTATGGACGCGAAGGAGACTGATCGCTATGTGCTCTTCCGCGGCGGCCTGACACTTGATCGGGACACGAAGCTGGTGGAGCGTGGCCGCAGGGACCTCTTCATCACTCGCAGGGCTGGCCTCGAATACCCCGCTGAGCTTGCCTCGAAGTGGGCGGAGGAGCTGAAGCAAGTCTTCGAGAGGGCCAAGGCGTATGAGCAGGGCTTCCTCACGGCCTCGCTGAACGGCTACTCGGTGATGCTGTCGGAGACTTTCAAGAACCTTGCAGAGCGCCTGGAGGTCGTGCGAATCTTGTACTCGCTGCACAGTATGGAGACCCTGGTCTGTCAACCGGGCGGGCCGCGAGATGCCATCAGGCACATATCATGGGGGGCCGGCTGACCTGCACTCTACTGTACCTATGTACACCTGCAACTGCAAGCGCTTGCAGGAGCGCTGCGGTAGGAGACCATGTCTTCGGGCAGTGAGCCTGAGCCTTAAAACCCTATAACTTAACCCCTAAGCTGCTACAAGTAGTTATGGTCTCTGCACGACGAAACAAAATTGGGATCTGCTTGGAATCACAAAAGCGCAAGCTGAACGAGCTGCCGCCGCACGCAAGGCAAACGAGGGTTGAGGCCCTGTTTCATACCCCTTATAAACCCCCTCTACAAGCTCTATGATGCACACCCTCAACCATGAAACCCTAAACCCTTAAAACCCTTTCAAACACCTAAACCCTAGACCCTAGAAACCCTTCAGGGCGCCTGCTCGCCCACCTTCAAACACCTGCGAGCGTGGCCCTTGAATCTGAAGTAACGTTGTCCTTGGTTGCGAACCTTCTCAAGGTTCTCTTCAAGGACTGCAAGTGCCTCTGTCTTGGTGGCTACGGCCCGACAAAAATTTGTCCAGGAAAAGATGATGGTCGCTTGCGTGGAGGCCTCGCTCGCGTGTGGCACTGTCTTCAGCTGTCGGCTGAATTCGAGCCACAGGGTCTTGGCGGAAGTCTCGATGTTGTTTTTCGAAGCCTCCTCGACCACCTGCGGCCTTGGCGAGATGGTGGTTCCAGGCGCCTTCTGCTTCAGGAACACCTCGTCGACGGCGATGAGCAGGACCAGGAGCTCCTCTGCAAGACGACGGCGAAGGTCCGGGTCGTACTTGAAATCAGTCCGAACGGGACGCTCATTCTCCTTGCTGGGGTTCTGCACAAATTTGAAAGGCCACGGCACCACTGTGAGCGATCGCCCGATTCCTCCGTCAGTAGACGTGAATCGCACCTCGACGTTGCTGGACATGTTCAGCAGAAAGCGAGGCTGGAATGTGATGTTGCTGTTGTACAAGTTTCGGCAGGTGATCTCCGAGGTCGGGTCACGGAGGGTCTTCACAAATCCGCTGCGCACCTTGGATGCGCCCTCGGCTTCGGTCACCATCAAGAAGCGCCTTGCGCGAGTCTCCAGCAAGTTGGGGGCGGCATTGCTCGGGTTGAAGGCCGTGCAGAAGGTGTCCATGCCTGAGTTGCATGATTTTCGCTTATCTAAAGCTTTAGGGTTTCGGGGTTATAGGGTATATTTTCAAACAGTTCTAAGGGATGAGGGCAGGTCGCTGGGCAGGTGGCAGTACTCGCCAAAGAGCGTGGCCACTATCTGCGTCCACAAGCCCTTGCCCCGCTACTTTCGCTACTTTTGCAACCTGGCACGCGCCCCCCTGCAGCCACCCGCTACTTTTGCTACCTGGGTTGCCAGGGGCTGGAAAAACTACTTAACCCAACCCCCCCCGTCTCGACCCCAAAAGGGGGGGGGGTTGCCAAAGGGACCCTGGTGAGGGCAGGGCCTTGAGATCGTGGAGCAGTGAAGGCTTCTGCGGGTCCTGGTGAGGGTTGAGGAGCAGTGCAAGGGGAGTGAAGGGTGTCTAAGGGGTCCCTGGTGAGGGTTTCGGAGGTCGTTTAGGGGGGCAGTGAAGGGTGTCTAAGGGGTCCCTGGTGAGGGTTTCGGAGGCCTGGTGAGGGTTTAGGGGGGGGCAGTGAAGGGTGTCTAAGGGGTCCCTGGTGAGGGTTTCGGAGGCCTGGTGGGGTTTAGGGTGCAGTGAAGGGTGTCTAAGGGGTCCCTGGTGAGGGTTTCGGAGGCCTGGTGGCAGCGAAGGGCGTCAGGGGTCCCTGGTCCGCCCGCTGCTTTTGCTATCTGCCCCCTCCTGGGCCCCAGAGCCCCCCAGCTACTTTTGCTACCTGGCCCCTCCTTGGCCCCCAGAGCCCCCCGCTACTTTTGCTACCTGCCCCCTCCTGGACCCCCAGCCCCCCAGCTACTTTTGCTACCTGGCCCCTCGCCGCTACTTTTGCTACCTGGCCCCTTTTGGCCCCCAGAGCCCCCCAGCTACTTTTGCTACCTGGCCCCTCCTGGGCCCCAGAGCCCCCCCGGCTACTTTTGCGACCTGGCCTCTCCTGGGCCCCCCAGCTTCCCGCTACTTTTGCTACCTGGCCCCTCCTGGGCCCCCAGCTACTTTTGCTACCTGGCCCCTCCTGGACCCTCAGAGCCCCCCGGCTACTTTTGCTACCTGGCTGGCCCCTCCGGGCCCCCAGAGCCCCCCCCTACTTTTGCTACCTGGCCCCTGGGCCCAGAGCCCCCCGCTGCTTTTGCTACTTCTGCTACTTGCTGCCCCGCCCCCAGTAGCGGAAGTAGCGGCCAGGGATCCAAGCAGTGAAGTAGCGGAAGTAGCGGGAGTAGCGGGAGTAGCGAGAGTAGCGGAAGTAGCGGTAGCGGAAGCAGCGGAAGTAGCGGGAGTAGCGGGAGTAGCGGAAGTAGCAAGTAGCAATGGCATCGCCCGCGTGCTCGGTAGCAAAAAGTAGCAAGTCACAAAGTAGTAAAAGTAGCGGAAGTAGCAAAAGTAGCAAGTAGCAACGGCAGCGCCCCGCATGCTAGGTAGCAAAAGTAGCAAGTAGCAAAAGTAGCGGAACCAGTAGAAGTAGCCAAAGTAGCGGAAGTAGCAAAAGTAGCAAGTAGCAACGGCAGCGCCCCGCAGGCTAGGTAGCAAAAGTAGCAAGTAGCAAAAGTAGCGGAACCAGTAGAAGTAGCCAAGGCCCTTGGCACTCATTGGCGCCGCGCTCGCGATGCTCAAGGAATGCCGGAATGCTCATTGGCGGCTCCCGGTATGCTCGGGCTCGGGGGGGAGTGCTCGGGGAGTGCTCGGGCGCGGCGCTCGGGACGGCGCTCGCGCTGCTCAGGGGATGCCCTCGGGATTACGGAGGCGGCGCGGGGACGGCGCTCGCGATCAGGCGGAGTAGCAACCAAGTAGCAAGCGGCAAACCCAAGGAATTGCATCTACAGAGCTTCTTATGGACAGGAAATGCAAGAGGTAGCAAAAGTAGCAAAAGTAGCAAGGAGTTCGGGGGGGCCTGTGAACCGGGCAGGGTGGGAAGCGGGCCAAAGCTCACCATTCTAGCGCGTGACGCTGCCTGCCTCGAGTTGCGTGCCGCGCTTATTTTTCCATCCGTTTTACTAGCTTCTCTTGTTGATCTTCTCTCTCTGGAGCCCTTGCTACTTTTGCTACTTTTGCTACTTGACCCCAAGTGCATCCTGGCCGCGAATGCAAGTGCAGGGCCGCTGAAAGCGCAGGAAATGCTTGAACCCTGCAGGTAGCAAAAGTGACAAAAGTAGCAAGTGGCAAAAGCATCAGAACAGTAGAACATTAGAAGTAGCAAAAGTGACAAAAGTAGCAAGTGACAAAAGCACCCAGAACAGTAGAACAGTAGAAGTAGCAAAAGTAGCAAGATCCAAATGCAGCAGAAGCGGCGTGTGCTGCTCTCAGCATTGGAAGCTTGTGATCGGTGGACTTGCTGCTCGGGCCACCTTTGTCCCCCGCTACTTTTGCTACTTCTGCCCCCCGCTACTTCTGCACCTCTCTCTTATGCAGGACCCCCCCGCCCCCCCTGAAGGCTGCGCACGGGCAGCCTCTGTGAAGATGCATTCCATTACATTTTCGCCTCGAGGTCGCGGAGGTCTGCAGGAATGCCGCCCCGGAGCCTCCAGTCCGCATCCCTGCAGCAGCCACCCCACTGCGGAGATGCATTTTAGGGCACTTATTGGGGTGAGCGTTCCGACGAAAATGCCTTGAGGAGCAAGATTCTGGGGGGTCTCTTCCTTCCCTCCTTTCTTTCTTCTTCTTTTTTCTCTTCTTTTTTTTTTTGATTTCCTTCCTTGTCTTTTGTTCTTTCCCTGCTTTCTTGTTCCATTGTTGTTCTCTTCTTGTTCCCTTCTCTGACCCCCCAGAATCGCGACGAAGAGGCATTCTCATTGCGAGCACCCAAAAGTGCCCTAAAATGCATCTCCGCAGTGGGGTGGCTGCTGCAGGGATGCGGACTGGAGGCTCGGGGCGGCATTCCTGCAGACCTCCGCGACCTCGAGGCGAAAATGTAATGGAATGCATCTTCACAGAGGCTGCCCGTGCGCAGCCTTCAGGGGGGGCGGGGGGGTCCTGCATAAGAGAGAGGGCCGGCCCGGTCGCCGCCGTGCAGGAAGATGGCCTGGTCCTGGGCGTAGAGCTGCACACCCTTCGCGGAAGACGGACCAATCAGACCAGAGCCTCTGCACCTTCGCCACGTCGGAGGTGCACACGGTGGCTCCGAGGCTGCGAGTGGACACGGAGCTCTACATCGACGACGCCACGGGCACGGCCACGGGCCTCGTCACCAATGCGATCTCCACGCGCACCCAGGACACGGAGCTCACTATCACTGGCGGCTCGGGAGGCGTCGTCAACGGGGCGCTGGACGTGTGACCTCGGGGAGCGTGGAGCTGTCCACGGAGCTGCGGGCGCCTACGGTGCGGGTTCGAGCCACCGACGATTGTTTGACCCTCACGGCACGCAGGGCACCTACCTCAACACCGTGCTCTACGTCAGTGCGATTCGGGCCGACAACGGCATCGTTGCGAGCCCGGCCTCTACCGTCAACAGCGGCAACTGGTGGCCTGCAACGCAGGCTCGGGGAGCTCTCCGTCCCCGCCTTGAGGTTCAGGAATTGATTGGCAGGCAGCAGGGGCTCCACCGTGTCCGCCTGGAAGCTGCCGGCCGTGGCGATGCCCAGACTGTGCGAAGATGCGGCCCATGGTCAGCATGTTGACCCCGTCTTGAGGCTGAATTGGCTCGAGGACAGGTCGGCCACGGCGGCCCCGTTGGAAGCCTCGAACTCGATGCCGAGACTGCCGCCCCGCAGCGTCAAGAAATCGGCTCCGTTGGCGCGCACGTCATTGACCAGCAGGGGGTCCGCGGGCGGTGCCCGCCAGCGCATAGCGCGAATCCGATTCACTTTTGCTGTAGCAGTCGCAGGTCAGCTGCACCGTGGCGGAGTTGCCGAGGATCAGGTTCGGCCGTAGGGGTGCCTGGGGCAGCAGCGCCCTTATCATTCTTGGCGTGAAGTTGTCGAGCGCCATAGGAATGATGCCCCCACCCCCCGCGTTGCCGTTGACCACATGGTACCTGGAGTCCAGGGGCGTGAAGTCGCTGTTGGAGAAGTACCTCCCATCACTTTCGCTTTTGCTGTAGCAGTCACACGTGAGCTGCACCGTGGCGGAGTTGCCCAGGATCAGGTTCGCCCCCAAGGGTGTGGGGCAGCAGCGCCCTTATCATTCTGGGCGTGAAGTTGTCGAGCACCATAGGGATGATGCCTCCGCCTCCGGCGTTGCCGTTGACGGGATGATACCGGGCGTCGCCCTGCGCTTCGGTGAGGAGCCCAGAGGAGCTGATCTGGCTGGCGATCTCCGCCGAGGTCTCGCCCTGGTCCCAGTAGTTAGTGAGCTCCGAGGCGATGGAGCTGTCGATGTCGGCTTGCGTGGCATACTGCGAAACGTTCAGGGCGTCCACGGCACTCGAGATCTGCGCGTTCACTTCGGCCTGCGTGTACGTCTGGCTCTGGTCGTAGGCCTGGCACTCGATCTGCAGCGTGTTGCCCGAGTTCTGGAGCGTGGCCACCAGCGGCCCCGTGAAGTGCAGGTTCCGCAGGGCCTGCCCCGTCAGCAGCTCCCAGGTCGTGTTCCCTCCCCAGGCGGGAGCGTTGGAAATTGCCGCACCCGTAATGAGGGCGTCCACTTGCGCGGAGTCGTAATAGGATGCGAGCGCTATAGCCTTGAAGAAGCTCTTCCCGAGCTTGGTCAAGTTGTAGTTCCCATTGGGCTGGAGGCTGCGGAGCAGCTTTTTGGCGCCGCCCCGAACCATGATGTAATCGTTCGGGCCCTCGCGGAGAGCGCACGCGCTTCTTGAGGCCTGAGCGGAGGAGGATGTAGTCTGTAATCGTTAGCGCCCTACCTCCAGGGGCCCGCCGTTCCAGGGCGGCGGGCCCCCCTTTGCTGATTCCGTTTTTTTTTGGGGAGCCCGCCGCCCCATGTGTTGCATGTTTTTGCTTGATTTTTCGCATGATACTGACTTTTTTTTGTGCGTGATTTTGGCATGTTTTTTTTTGAATAAATTTTGTGCTTGCTTTGTTTTTGGCTAGAGTGCCTGTCCCGCGCTCGCTCCCTCGAAGCATGAGCAGGCAGCAACAACAGGCAGCAGCAATCTCTTGACACGGCTTTCAAATCGGACAGGGAGCCACTTCTAGTAAGACAGTAGACAAAGGACTACCACATCTTGTTCTTGTATTGAACGGCGTCCGACATGACTGTCTTGTGAGTAAGGAAGTACCTTTCTCTTGATTCCATGCTGCCTTCGAGTGGACACAAGCCGTTTGTGCCGCCACGGCTAGCTGAGGAAGACGAGTCGAAGATGACAGACCTTACGGAGCCAACGAGCCCACCCAGAGTGAACCAGCTGTCCTCAGACTCCAACAGCATAGTGTCTCCTCTTCGCCGCCTTGCGCGGGTCGCAGAAACCCAAGCGCAGTGCGACTTGGATGAGGTTGTGCTTGCGGGCAAGAGCATGGATGCCAGAGTTGAAACGGCAAATCTTGCTGCTTCCTGCGTCTCTGCGTTGAAGGCATGCCAAGGCGTGGAAGAGAAACCGGACACGATGGCAATCGAAATCAATGAGAACAGCACGTTTGCTTGGCTTTATTTGCTTCTCATGGTGGTTTACAAGAATAGCTTGCGGCAACAGACATCTCCGCAGACCGTTCAGGAGAAGTACACGCAAGCGCGGTCAGATTATACCGGTGCGGCAGATGATTGTGGTTCTCTTGGAGTCTACTTGAAGTCTATTTGGCCTGAGCAGCATGAACTTTGGCCAATCCTATCAATGCAGAAATCACTCGATCGCGTGACGCGGTGTACAATTTGAGTCACGTTTGTTGAAGATCAAAACCCAAAATTATCCATTGCCTAACATCCTAAGTTATCCGCTGTCAGGTCTATGAGCTTGCGGGTGAAGACGCGCAAATCGACATCGATGTGCTAGGAAGCCATCTTCAAGATGCTAAAGCGCCTGGAATTTGCGATGAATGAGTTCGCTGCGCATTACTCCAAGACAACGAATCCCGCAGCAGTTGGCATGGTTCATGTTATCCCTTTCCGCAAGGCTACCGGAGAGATGATCTTTAAGGTTGGAAAGAGCTCCTTCGAGTTGCGCAAGTCGGACACTACCAGGATCCCACTAGTACGTTGTCTAGAGCGATACAGGAGCATAATGTTGCAGGGTGATCTTCAATGCGTCGGCATGCCGTTCTTATTCTTGACTTCGTCATCCGGTCGTGCGCAAGACATAGAAGGCCATCTCCATACATACATGAAGATGGAGCACGTGCAAGAGCAAGATGTGAGTACGAGTTTTGGTGGCCGCAAGAATGGCGGTCTATGTGAAATCTATCGCGAGACCGCCAAGGATGTTATACTTGACATGTTACGTCGAACGTCAATGCTCTCACAGTTGCAAATGAATGAGGCGCGCTGAAGCATGTGTGGGTTTATTCAAACGTGGTGTGAGGTCGCTCTTAAAGGAAGCGCGACTCGGGCCGGCGTACTGGGCGCTGGCTGCTCGCCATTGGTCAATGTTACGGTGGCAGAAAGCTGAAAGGGAGTTGGGGTTGAACCCTAAAGCATTGCTTCCCTTTGGTGCTCAGATTCAAGTTAAACGTCGTCCATGGGAGTTGCTGGGTCCGGATGGAACAAAGAAAGGTCGGCAATGGGTCGATCGTACGCAGCCTGCGCTTCTTTTAGGTCCACGCGATGACCTACCTGGTGGTTATTGGGTGGAAGCTCAAGGGACTGCAAAGGATCCGGATGAACTGGTGTTATTTCCCTGCACTACGATTTTTTCCAATATAAAGGAACCGCCTGAATTGGAGCTGGAAGGGGTGGTAGAAGAACAGGAGCCTTCTCCTCCAGAGCATCGTCTCAAGGGGAAAAAACCGGCGCTTCGGTTCGCTGATGAGGAAGGTCCTCCTTTACCTCCGCCTCGCGATCCTCCAGTTCGCCATCGGTTGGTGGCAAAAAGCCCGGCCTCTTCACTGCGTGGTCATGTGGGCTCCTTGCGCTTGCTTCGCAAGCGGGGGGAGAGTCCGCCCTTAGAAATTTTCGAGGATGACATGCAGGGTCTGGGGGAGCTGGAAGAAAATGCAGATGTTGAGGACAATGTTCCTGGTGATGAGTATTGGCCGACTTGCTGTTCTCCTCATGAAAATGCTTATTTGGTCTGCAAAAGTGAGACTGCCGAGGATGGAACTCAGTTGGAAAAAGAAGAGCAAAAAGCCAAGTCAATGTATGAAAGGTCTATGTATGATTACGTGGACTGTGAGGAGCTTTTGGAAGGGATTGTATACCCAAAGAGGGTGAATCGAAGAGGTGGTATCAACAATTGGTGCACAAGTACGCGAGCTCTGGTGTTGGGCCACTATACTCATGGCGGAGTGTGTGGTATTACAAAAGAGACTCATCGAAGGCCATGGCTATGTCGTTATCTGGCATCATTCGTGAGGCACCACAATCCTGAAGCCAAATTTCTGCTCTTCAGATCTCGTGCAATGCTCCGGTATCATTGCATAGGGATAGTCACAATGAAAAGCATTGCTGCAATTATGTGTGTGGCTTTGGTGACTATAAAGATGGTCAGCTGTGGGTTGAGGACGAAAAGGCTTTAGAGGAAGGAGCTGAAGTGGTGGAGCAATCCTATGGGAAGAAAGTCTTGCCTGGAAAATTGGCCGATATCCACTGGAACTTCATGTCGTTCTTTCCGAGAAAACTGCATGGTCCTATGCCTTGAAAAGGAAACAGGGTATCCTTGACAGGGTACACACCTGTTTTTATGGAGCGTTTGAGCTACAAGGATAGGTGCTATCTTCTCCAATGCAAGTTTCCTCTTCCGGAACCACAAGCTGAAGAAGGTGAAGCTTACTGTTCGCGAGCGAATCGTGTTTTATCGCTTGCTTCCGAATTGCCTCAAGAAAAACGGCGGGCCGTTGTTCTTGGTTTGAAGCCAAAAGTTATTTTATACTTTGCATGGCGTCATGTGCAGCAAACAACTTGGCATGTTGATTGTATTCTTTACTGCATGTTGCGAAGTTTGCTTGAGCTCTTCATGTGTGCAGCACTGGCTCCATCGCAGTGCGCAAAATTTTGAGTGTGCGCAACCAGCGTGTACACTGGCACGTGATTGTGCATCTTGATCCGCCCATTGATAAAAAGAAAGGGATGGTGACCTGGGGTGTCACGGTTCATGCTTCAGGGAGTCTGTGTGTCTGGCTTGAGATTTTGGGTTCAAACCAATTTGGTACAAGCGATAAAAAAGGAAATGGTTAAAAATGACGTTGAAAGAGACCTCGCTGGACGACCTTGCAGAGGAAGTCGACTACGCTGTGTTCGAAGCGCATCAATGGGCTCTAGAGGAGCATTTGAGTATTCGACGCCTAATTGCTGAACAGGAATGTTGCGTTTTGGACGAGTTCCATGGATCGGCCAATGAGTCGAATGGGGAAAAAGGATCAGAGACTAGAGAATGGCTGGTTAAAGCAAAAAGGGCTGAGGAACAGCTCTCGAAGTTTTTGGTCAAAGCAGCTCAAGTCCAGCAAATGGTACAAGAAAATACCGCGCTTGAGGCAGCAGAGGAGGTTGAGTTCCTGCAAACAAAAACAATCCCTACACAAGAAGCCATGCAAGAGCTGGAAAAGTGGAGGGAATCATTGTCGGACGAGGTGACGTCTTTGGTGAAAGAGTTGGAGGTGGTGGAACCAACAACTCAAGAAAAGCTGGACAAATTGGCGGAAGAGCCTAATGCACCGGTGATTGAGTACGTTCCCAGTCTGGTGGTGTTTACCCGGAAGCAAGGGACAGGGAGGCGACGTGCCCGTATCTGTGCATGTGGAAACTTTATTTCGTCAACGGCAGCTACAGAATATGAAGGGCCGAGGTCCCTCAGTCGTCACTCGCTGTACGCTCCTGGTTTAGATTCAACTACATTCAGGTGTCGAGTGAGGCACGCCGCATATATGATGTGGATCATCGCTGGCTTAGACATTTCCAAAGCTTTTCTGACGGCGCCGATGAATAGGGCGCAAAGAGAAGGGCGTCTAGTGGTGGTGCAGCCCCCAAGGGCGGCGGTGAAATTGGGTCTTTGCACAAAGGAGGAGCGGTGGATTGTGAGGAAAGCCTTGTACGGTTTGGCCGAAAGTCCTGCAGCATGGGTGGAGTGGCGAGACCAACGTCTTCAAGGCATGTCTTGGGTGTCAAAGGATGGACAAGCAATGAGCTTTCAGAGGTCCAATGCAGACCCAAGTCTGTTCCTTATTATGGCACAAGAGAAGCCGGAAGGTGCAAGCAAGTTGGTAGGGACAATGGGTCTTTACGTGGATGATTTTTTGATGGCTGGGACTATGACAGTGCTCCGGGAAGCCTTGGAACAGATCAGGAAGGAGTGGAAAACTTCTGAACCCGAGTTCTGTGGTCCAGGCTGTGGTGATGGATTCCTGAAGTTTTTGGGTGTCCAAATCTGGTATCGAAATGGCAGCTTCTTTCTCAACCAGGAGGACTTCGTGAGAGAGTTGCTGAACCGAAGAGGGTATCAGATTGATGAAACTGGAAAAGGTAGTAACCTGCCAATGGTGAAGGAAACTCCAGGTGAAGAAGAGGAGGTAGATATTCCTTCCTTGCGAGCGGCTCAAGGTGCCGTAGGGGAGTTCCTCTGGGTGGCAATCAAAACTCGACCTGATTTGGCTTTTTGTACAAGCCAGTTGTCTTTGTGGACATCCCGAAGGCCGCGATTTGTGGTTAAAAAGGCTGAGGAGGTATTTCGGTACCTTGCTGCAACTCCAACGTTAGGCTTGACGTTCGGAGCAATCGCAACATGCGAAAAAGAAAGAAATGAGGTGTTGCGTTATGGACGAGGCGTCAAGGTGGTGGAGTCCTACGCGGATGCTAGCTTTGCCGCCGGAGAAAATGAAAAGAGCCACTCAGGAGCGGTGGTGGTGTGGGGTGATTGTCCAGTGATGTGGGCAACGCAGAGACAATCAACGGTGGCTTTAAGTACTGCTGAAGCTGAATTACATGCGTCCATAGAGGGAGCAACGATGATTCAGTCGTGCACCCCTATAATTGCCGCTTTGGTCGGAATGACTGGCTTGGGGAGCGAAGCGTACCAAGCGGATTGTTCCCGTAGGCATTCGGGGGGGGGGGGGGGGGGTTCGGGCCCTCAGGCCTCGGGGGGTTCTGCACTGTTTGGGAGGCTATGCCGTTTTCAGTTTTGCTTCAGTCATGTCAGACATGTCAGTTGCATGAGCATGCATGTTTTGCTTCAGTGATTTTGCTTGGTAGGAGTTTTCCTTGGGAGGTCTGTTTTCGTCTTGATTTTACTTTGGAGTTTTCTTTTCAGTCTTTTGATTTTAGTGGGCCTATCCTTTGGGAAGGCCTCTCACTAACAGCGCTCCGCTCAACATCAAGGAGGGTAGACCCCTTCAAAATTTTAGATCATAGGGACGTCCCCCATTTGAAAGGGGGACCACTCCGCGTAATGGAGGATGAGCGCCTATGGAACAGCCTGCTGGGAGAAGGAATTGAAGCCCACAGTGAGCTCAGAGCAACTTTCTTGACACCATGGCATTTGGCAGTCTCTGTACTTGATGAGGCTGATGCAATTACAGTCTTTCGTCAGTTGGTGTCTGGAGAACCTGAGATCTTTTACGAGCAGCAGGGACGTTTACTCTGGCGCTGGATAGGGCGTAATCAAGATCTCTTGCAACGGGTGCAGGCACGCTTGCTCTCCAAATGCAGGAGAGTGGAGGCTTACATGGCTCCACCCGTGTCTGCCGCCGAGGTCTATGACGCTGTTTCCAGTCACCATGTGGTCTTGAAGAAGGTGGTACGACGCTCTCAGCGCAGGTGGCTTACTGCAGGATCAGGGACGTTAGCTGAGATAGAGCAAAAGAGTAAGCAATTTTGGGGAAATATTCTGCTGGGATATATGGTAGAGGCCCAGTTACCCTTCAGTCAGCTACCGGTGGCAGATGAGTCTCAAAGGCGTGAGATTGCATTGCGGGCTTTTGGAGCAAGGCGCTCCAAGACGCTGAGGAACAGGGCCAGATGCTGGAGGAAGGCTAGGGATTGGTTTCTCTCCTTCAAAGGTACAGCTTTCCCGACCAGTAATTTGGACGTTGTGGGTTATATGATCTTTCTAGAACAGGAAGTGGGCGCCAAGAGTTGCATCAATGATTTTCTGGCTGCCCTGTCAGTGCTTGAGGATGCGGGTCAGGTATCAGTTTCAAATCAGCTCTGCAAGGATAGACTGGTTCTGGCAGCATCGAAGAGCTACGTTGCCTCGGCTCCTTCGGGACAAAAGCAGGCGCCACCTTTGACAGTCGCCATGTTGATCTCTTTGGAATTGTACGTCTGCGATCGTCGAAATCCCATGTATGCTAGATGCCTGGCGTGGGCCTGCCTCTTGTGCGTGTGGGCCTGTATGAGGATTTCAGACTTGCAGGGCATTGACATGTCGCGGCTAAAATTGTTTTCAGCAGGTTTGAGGGGCAGCCTGGTGAGGACGAAGACTACAGGGAGCGATAAGAAGGTGGCGGAGGTTCCGTTCTTCGTTAGGCGCGATGCCAACCTTTCTGGCTCGGACTGGCTTCGAATTGGGCGTCAGCTCTGGGTCGATCTAGGCCACTTGAACCGTGATTTCCTGGTGTGGCAGACTGGGGCAGCTATGGATGAGCCGAGGCTTCGGTATGCAGCTCCCGAAGTCATTGCCGGTTACATGAGGAATGTTTGGGCACACTTGAGGGTTCCTGAAAAGAAGTTTGGGCGTCAGCGCTGGGAGCTTAAGGAGGACGCTTGGCTTCTGGCGGGTGACTGCTACATGTTCTGGAGTGGGCATAGCATGCGTCATTTTCTTCCGACAGTTTCAGCGATCTTTGGTGAGCCGAAGGACAGGCGAGACTATCTAGGGCGTTGGCATGTGGGCTTGCATCAGAGTGCTGACTATTTACACACATGTCGTCAGATCGTCCTGGATGTTCAGAAGCTTGTGTGCGACAAACTGTGTGGCGGAAAGCCCGGCTATGACGAGGATGAGCTCTTTGCGGAACTGCGGCAGTGGCTTGTCGTCAGGGGTTGTGATCCTGACCCGGTGGTGAAATCGCATATGATTATGAGGCTGGTGGATGGGGCGAGGGTCCTCAACCAACGCTGGCCAATGATCGGCGGATTCGGTGAGGCCGAGGCCGACGTTTCTCTACCGGAGGGCCAGGAGGAGGGAGCCCAAGGACAAGCCTCCCCCTTCTGGGTCAGCGTGAGCCGAAAGTCGGGGCAGGAGACTTCACATTCGCAATCAGTGCTGGGTGTCGCCTTGGAGCTGCCGTCAGGTGGAGGACGTCTGGAAGGTCACAGAGAATTCCGCAGACAGCTTTTGTCGACTATGTTACCGAGATCGGACAGAAACCAGCTCCAGCTCAGGTGAGTCCTCCTCCACCGAATCGGAGGGTGACGTTGAGGATGAATCGGCAGAGGCTCTTCTTCAGGGAGGTCCTTCATGAAGGACCTCAGGCAGCCTGTGTCTCGGATTGACTAGCATTTGACTGTCCGCGCAAGTGATGCACAAATGAACATGTGTTGTGTTTCGGGGGCAGAGTTGAGTTCGGAGGCGCCCCGGTAAGGGATTCTCTACCGGGGCAGGATTTCGGAGATGCCCAAGGCCCTCAAGAGAGCTCTGTGGACTTCCACACAAAACGTCATGGGGGCGCATGTGGTCGGTTCGGCGGCGCCCCAGTAAGGGATTTTCTACCGGGGCAGGATTTCGGAGATTCCCAAGGCCCTCAAGAGGGCTCTGGGGACTTCTACAGGGAACGTCATGGGGGCGCATGTGGTGGTTTTGGAGGCGCCCCGGTAAGCCAACCTCTACCGGGGCAGGATTTTTTGAGATTCGCAAGGCTCTGAACAGACCTCGATGGACCTCCATAGGCCGGAATCCGTGATGCAGCCTGAACGTCATGACCAGCACAGATGTCCTTCCAATATATGCGACTGTCTTCAGCTTGAGTCTATGCTGAGTTCGGCAGCAAGGCTCAGATCAGTGAACATCAGATCTAGGGCATTTGTCAGTGCTTTGGTTTGACTTTCAGTCGGGGGCTTCATCCCCCTCCTTCTGTCTCCTTCTCAGCCGTAAGCGTTGGCTTACTTGTTTCAGTTCGTCAGCTGGGGCTTCATCCCCTTTCTTGGGGCTTCATCCCCACTTCAGTTGTCAGCCTTCAGTCTTTAGTTTTGTTTCAGCTACCATGGCCGGAGCCCCGCCCACACCGGCGGAGCAAAGAGAATTCATCAGGGCGCATATGGATGCTGATTTTCAGTTCCTGCTTGAGGATCACGGAGTAGAGCTGAGTGAGCAGCATGCAGTGGCCCAGCATTACACGAGCGTCAAGCGTTTTGCTGCAATCGCTGATACCAGGGCCAATGTGAGAACGGCTGTGACAGCGGATTTCGGCATCAGGGCAGATGATGCTCCGGGTCGTGCCAAGATGGCTGCTATGATCACTGCTTGGGAGGCGGCCAGCTTGATCAGGGACGAAGATGCCAAGCTCAGAGCGGAGGCCAAGGTCCTTGGAACGCAGCGGCCCCTGGCATCATCAGATAGGGCAGCTATGAAGACGGCTCTGGAAAGGGTGAAAGGCTTTCCCTTGACGGATGCAGATGAGCCAGCAGCCGAGTACTTGGCACACAAGCTGGAACAGATCGAGAACGGCGAGCCCACGGCATCTTATTTGGACGAGGTCATCTCACGCTCCGAAGCGAGCACGCTCCAGCTTCAGACTTCTTTGGATAATCAAGGCCGGTTGCGGGTTACCCGGCAGAAGCCGAAAGGCAAGCTGCCACAGAACACAGAAGAGTTGCGGACAAAGCTCAGGCTGGAGGGACATGCTTGGGTCATGTTGTCGTCCAAGTGTCGAGGGCGCCCCTATCTCAGCTCACTTCAGATATCTCATTTCGACAGATATGTGGAATACCTTCTGGGGGACAAGTGTTACTCCATGAAAGTGGGTTCTGGGGGCTCGGATCAGGCTAAGCACTTCCTGTCAGTACCATGGGGTATTCTGCTTCAGTACGAGTATGAGATGAGGAAGTGGGCAATCAAGGAGGCGCATCGTCAGGGCACGGAGCTGGGAGATACTTTGCACGAGGCTACACGCAACACAGAGCTGAAGGAGCTGTACTTCACATCCCAAGTGGCTTTGGCTTTGGCACGCAGCGATCGTCCTGATGAACCATGGGCAAAACGGCCGCGTAAGGGCGGCGCCAAGGACGGCGGAGGCAAGGGCAGCCCGAAGGGCGGCAAGGACAAAAACCAGGGAAAAGATCCTGGGAAAGGCCAGGGCAACAAGGGCAAGATCCAGCTGGGCGACGCGTGGTACGAGCTTGCCACTCACACTCCGGATGGTCGTGAGCTCTGCTTTGCCTTTAGTGGGAAGAAAGGCTGTCTCAGCAAGAAGTGTCAGAGAGTCCATGCCTGCCGCGTTAAGGGATGTCATGGCAATCACCCGACTTACCAGCACGCCGAGAAGGCGGGCGGTGCCTGATAACGGCCGTTGGTGGGTGGGCAAGAAGCGGAAGGGGTGCTCGCTTCAGTACAGGAGAGCCCCTCTTTTCGAGTCTTGTACCTTTTCGCTGGTAATCCACGAAAGGCGGATGTTAGATTCTGGCTCACCCAGTTTTGCACGGCCAGGGGTTTCACTCTGGAGATGCTTGAGATCGATGTCTGCAGAGACGCATCCATGGATTTGCTTGATGAGGATCAGGCCCGTCGCTTCTTGCAAGAAATACAGGCTGGAAGATGGGACTTTGTCATTGTCACGCCGCCATGCAATACCTTTTCACGGGCAAGGTGCTCCACAAGGACTCCTGGCCCAAAACCAGTACGTTCTCGTCTTTACCCTTTTGGTTTCCCTTGGCTTTCTTCAAAGCTTTTGAATTTGGTGCAGAACGGTAATCAGTTCGTTAAGTTCTCAATTGAGTGCTGCAACGTGGCGCTTCAACGTGGATGCCACTTTGTCCTGGAACATCCAGAGGACTTGGGCAAGCTGGCAAACGGTTGTGATCTAGGTTCGATTTGGCAATGGGAGGACGTGCATCACTTGATGACACGTGCGGGTGTCACCACATTTGCTGTTCATCAGTGTCATTATGGGGCTACGTCCCCGAAACCAACGCGGTTCCTGACTTCAGCGGCCTCTGCTCAGCGCATGAAGCATACGGGCCCTCCGACCTTAGATCGGGACGGCTTCTACATCGGACCCTTGCCGAGGTACTGTGGCCATCGCAGCCACGAGGAGCTCATTGGGCTTGACGAACAGGGCAACTGGAAGTCGTCAGCGGCGGCGGCCTATCCGGAAGGGCTCTGTTCCATGATTGCAGATTTGGTTGGCTCCGTCTACGAGGGGGGTTCCACTCAATCTTCACCGTCTCCATCAGAGGACTTGGACTGCGATCAGCTTTCTCAGCCGTCGGGAGAACAGCTACCGGAAGACTTGACCTATGATCAGCTTTTCTCTGGATGTCAGGGACCTCCCCTGACGGGCGAGTTCGCGGGTCAGAAAGATGAGTTTGTGGACGGCTTCGGGAGATGCTCACCAGGCAGGTGGGCGCCTAAGAACCGGGGCAAGAAACTTTCGGATGAGGCTAGGTCTTTCGCTATGGAGCTGAAAGATACAGTGAGGGACTTTGTGATCCAAGAAATTCCGGACATGGCGAGGGCGACTTTTAGACTGGCTACAGGACGCTGGGAAGGACCTCTTTTTAGGGCGGATGCCATGGATGCCTTGAGAGAGAAGTGGTTCAGCATGCTTCCGGATCCTGAAAGGGCCAGAGTTCTTGTCCCGCATCAGCCTTACTTCCTGAGGGCGATGGCTCAGACGCTGGAACTCCTGGAGGACCCGGACTTTCGAATCTTGGAGGAAGGCAAGTTCTGCTTCTGCAACGGGGTGAGCGTGGGGCACGTGGAGCCTCTGGGCCCCAATCCACAGGTGTACCGTCTTCGCCGAAAGGACCAGAAATATGATGAGTCTGAGTGGGAGCCTGAGATGACGAACTATCGGGATGGCGAGGAGACATCCCGGATCCTGGAGGAGGTCTTCGCCAAGGAGGAGGCGGAGGGGAGAATGTTCCCCCTTTCTTTGGCGGAGGCGCGCCGTAGGTATCCGGGATCATCTTTGCGGATCGCTGCCCAGGGGGCTCTGCCAAAACCTGGTGGGGACTTCCGGGTGATTCACGATGGCACTCACGGGGTGCAGGTTAACAATGAGATTGTGATCAGAGACCGCTTGGAATCGCCATCAGCCAGAGAGATCTCCACTGTTCATCGGGTGTGCAAGGCAGCGGACCAGTCAGTGGTGTTTGGTCTTGTGGGAGATATCCAGAAAGCTCACAGGAGATATCTGCATCATCCCGAACATTGGGGAGTTCTGGCTTGTAAGACGTCATCTCGCTCGGAGGTGATCTGGCTAAACAGGACGGGAACGTTTGGGATCGCCTCGGCGGCGTTCTGGTTCTCGCGACTGGCTGGACTCACGGGGCGTCTGACTTTGCGAGTGCTCTTGGACACTTTCCTCTTTATGATGATCTTCGCGGACGACTTGCACCTGTGCAGTGGTGGAAGGGAACGCTGGCTCAACTTGTGGATGGCACTAGCCCTGATGGAGATGCAGGGCACGCCATTCGCCGGAAAGAAGTGGCGAGGCGGTCTACAACTTGATTGGGTCGGCTACTGGATGGACTATTCCAGGTTTCTTTTGGGCATTTCCGAGAGGCGCTGCCAATGGATCTTGGACACCATTACGGGGCTAGAACAATCGCTCTGGCTAGTGGATGTTCGTCGTTTTCACGAACTGCATGGACGGCTGGGATTTATGTCGCAGGTCCTCCCTTGGATTCGTCCTCTCCTGGCGCCGGGCTACGCCTGGCTGGCTGCGGTGCAGAAAGGGGCGGTTCTCACCTTGCCATCCATCATTCGGTGTGTGCTACGTTTTATCCAGGATAAGCTGGAGCGTGGACGGCGCACATATGATACAGGATCGGGGGAGACGGAGTTGGGCGAGCTCTTCAGGACAGATGCAGCGTGCAATGAGTCCTCGGTCGTTCTTGGCGGCTGGTTTTTCTGGAAAGGCCACTCATGTTGGGTTGCTCCTTGGTTCCAGCTCACCCTGACTCCATCCGAAGTGCCTTGGCTTTTTAAGGAGGAGCTTGGGTCATCGTGGGCGAGTACAACTGCCGAACTGCTTGCTTCTCTGGTCGCGATTTATATTCTGGGCCGTGATTTCAAGGATTTGATACGGTCCTCCGGATGCTTTCGCGCCACTTTCCAGGGAGGCACAGACAACAAGGCGGCAGAGAGCCTCTCCCTGAAACAACTCACCACCAAGGTACAGAGGAAATGGTGAGTCTTGAGCCACAACATAGAATAATCAAAAGTGCAATAGATTTGCAAGTATATTTGATTTGGCAGAAATGAAATGAATGATAATATTCTTCACCAAGAAATCTTCGCCCAAAAATATTCCAGAAGAAATCTCTGAAAAGAAGACCTTCCGATAATGTCTCTTTAAAAAAATCCCATCATACTTGGTTTGACAGGAATGAAATGAACAAATCAATATTCTTCATCAAAAAATCTTCGCCAAACGAATCCAGAAAAAATCTTTAAAAAGGAAAATCTTCAGAGGGTTTCTTTTTAGGAGATTTCAAATCATATTTGATTTGGCAGGAATGAAATGAATGACAATATTCTTCAACAAGAAATTTTCGCCCAAATAATCCATAAGAAATCTCTGAGAAGAAGGTCTTCAGAGCATTTCTCTTTAGACAATTCCGAGCATATTTGGTTTGACAGGAATGAAATGAATAATCAATATTCTTCATCAAAAAATCTTCGCCAAACGCATGCAGAAAAAATCTCTAAAAAGAAGATCTTTGCAGGATATCTTTCGAGGAGATTTCCAATCATATTTGATTTGGCAGAAATGAAATGAATGATAATATTCTTCACCAAGAAATATTCGCCCAAAAATATTCCAGAAGAAATCTCTGAAAGGAAGATCTCCGAAGAATTTATTTCTAAGAAATTTCTATTTTTTTGGTTTGGCAGAAATGAAATGAATGATTAGATTCTTCGAAAAATAACTTCGCCAAATCGGCCAACCTGATCCTGGGCAACGCGGCGACGATCGAGCTGGAGTGCGACTGCTACAGCAAGGCCGAGTCTGACGCCAGGTACGCCTTGGCGGGAGCGCCGCCGGCAGACCCGCTGCTGGTGAACGACGTGCGCGCCAACGGGGCCGACTTCCTGACGCTGCGGGGCGGCAGCCTGGGCATCGAGTTCGAGGCCAGCGGCGGGGCCGCCGTGGCCGACCTCTCCTCGAGCCAGTTCAGCCTCAAGACGGGCGTGAACATGCTGACCATGGGCCGCATCTTCGCGGACAGCAGCCTGGGCATCGCCACGGCCGGCAGCTTCCAGGCGGACACGGTGGAGCCCCTGCTTCCGACAAATCAATTCCTGAACCTGAAGGCGGGCACCGTGTCCGTGCGCGTGACGGACCAGGCGGACCAGAGCCTCTGCACCTTCGCCACGTCGGAGGTGCACTCCGTGGCTCCGAGGCTACGCGTGGACCACGGAGCTCTACATCGACGACGCCGCGGGCACGGCCACAGGGCTCGTGACCAACGCCATCTCCACGAGGGCGCAGGACACGGAGCTGACCATTACCGGCGGCTCCGGCGGCACCGTGGTGAACGGCGCCCTGGACGTGCAGGGCACCGTGACCTCGGGCAGCGTGGAGCTCTCCACGGAGCTGCGGGCCTCTCTCTTAGGCAGAAACGCCCACACCGCGCCACAACACAGCTGAGAGGATCGAGGATCTGAGTTTGAGGAGTGTCGTTCTAGAGGCCTCAGTTCCGAAACTGCATCAGAGTGCAGTTTCAGGTCTCACAGTAGCATCGCTGCAGCCGATTTTGAGGCCAGAAAATTTGCTCGTAATCGGAATCGCAACAGGATGCAGTTCTGAGGCTGCGGAGTTGTGGAGTTCCACGCTGTTACACTCCACAACTCCGCAGCCTCAGAACTGCATCCTGTTGCGATTCCTCCCTCGCAAATTTTCTGGCCTCAAAATCGGCTGCAGCGATGCTACTGTGAGACCTGAAACTGCACTCTGATGCAGTTTCGGAACTGAGGCCTCTAGAACGACACTCCTCAAACTCAGATCCTCGATCCTCTCAGCTGTGTTGTGGCGCGGTGTGGGCGTTTCTGCCTATGAGAGAGGCGCGTTTATTTGCACACGCCGCGAAACGCGTGCACTTTTGCATGTCGCGTGACGCGTTCATTTGCACATGCCGCGTTGACGCGTTCATTTCCACATGCCGCGCAACGCGTGCACTTTTGCATGCCGCGCAACGCGTTCATTTGCACATGCCACGTGAACATGCCACGTGACGCGTTCATTTGCACATGCCGCGTGACGCGTTCATTTGCACATGCCGCGTGACGCGTTCGGTTGCAGAGTCTCTCCAAGTCTCTGCCCTTTTCCTCGGTGGGGACTCGGGGGACGGACTCAGTCTCTGCGGGGTAAATACCCCGAAAGACTGCAGTCTGTGGCGCGGCGGTGTGGCGGCGGCGCGGTGCGGCGGTGCGGTGGCGCGGTGCATGCGGGCGAGATGGGGAGCTCTGGCGAGAACGGTGGCGCGGTGCGGCGGGCGGTGCGGCGGCGCGGTGGGCGTGCGGGGAGATGGGGAGCTGGGTCCGAGAACGGCAGTGCGGTGCGGCGGCGCGTTGGGCATGCGGGGGAGATGGGGAGCTCGGGCCGAGAAGGGTGCGGCGGTGCGGTGCGCGTGGCGCCGGCGGGCTCGTGTCGATGGGTGGGACAATGGGTGGGACAATGGGTGGGACAATCGGGTGGGACAATTGAGTGGCGACACTGTCGGGTGGGGCATGCGGTGTGGCGGTGCGGTGGCGCGGTGCGGTGCGGTGGGCATGCGGGGGAGGTGGGAAGCTCGGGTCGAGAACGGTGGCGCGGTGCGGTGGCGCGGTGGGCATGCGGGGGGAGATGGGGGGACTGTGGATCCGAAGTTACTCACCGGGTGAGTAACTTCCATGGCTCGATTTTGCCCTCCCGACCATTTCGGGGGATTACCGGGATGGCTCCGCGGGCCTCAGATCACGCTCAGGAGCTCCGCGCTCGTGGCCCGCGACGCGCCGACATAGAGATGCTTGACAGAAAAATGCGGGTTGTCGGCGTCGCAGAGCCACACCCTCCCCCGCAGCGTGAGTCCCTGGCAGGAGGCGTACGTGACCGCGTGGCAGAGCCGCGTGTGCCGCGGGCGCGAAGCTCTGCCCGTCGTCCAGCGAGATCCGCTCCTCCCCCACCTCCCGCACCGTCGCGAAGCAGCCCTTGGGCACCCTGCCGCCCGCGCCCACAAGCCTCAGTCCGGGCCACACGCGCATCGTCTGCGGCTGGTTCGTGCCCGCGGGCCCCTGCGCCCTGTGCTCCACCAGCAGCGCTCCCTCCGGCGCCAGCCGCCGGTTCTCTCGCTCGTTGATGGCCATCCTGTGGGCGTGGGAGATGACCAGGCATGTGTCGGGGTGGCCCCGCCGCAGGAACCGCTCCCGCGCCGCCTGCACGGCCTCCCGCAGCGGCGGCTGCTCCGGCTCGTCCACACGCAGCCACCGCAGGAAGCGGAAGATGGTCTCGTCGCTGCGCTGGTTCTCCGTGAGCTCGTGCACGCAGCCGCCCGCCAGGTCGTGCAGCAGCTGCGAGTCCTTGAGCGAGCGCAGCACCTGCGAGCCCCCGAAGGCGTCCTGCACGGCGGGCAGCTGCCGGAAGTCGCCCAGCAGCAGGAAGCGCACCCGGCGGTTGGTGGAGAGCTCCGCGATGTCGGCCCACAGCCCCACGTCGAGCTGCGTGACCTCCTCCACCACGAGCCAGTCCAGCTCGCAGCGGCCCGCGCGCACGGTGCGCCGCACCCAGTGGTCCGCCGTCTGCGCCCCCAGGCCCAGGTTCTGCACGCTGCAGTGCGTCTTCGAGATGAGCGTCACGTCCTCGCCCTGCGCCGAGAGCTGCGCCACGATCCGCCGCGCCAGGTGCGTCTTCCCCGTGCCCGGCATGCCGGAGAGCAGCAGGCTGCCCCCGTCGAGGCAGTGCGCCACGGGGTCCTCCACGTGCCTCCAGGGCTCCTGCGGCGGCGGCGGCTCCGTCTCCAGCCGCGGCTCTCGGTAGTCTCCCTCCAGTCGCTTCACCTCCTCGAAGCGGTACTTCGGCGTGCCGTCCCGGTGCCGGTGCCGCGTGAGCGCCTCCACGGCGGGCAGGAACTTTTTCGGCAGGCCCTGGCAGACGAGGCAGTCGGTCTTCAGCGCCACGAGGTAGCGGGGCGGCACCTCCCGCAGCGCGCGGTGGATCCTCGCCATCGCCACGTACTCGGAGCCCATCACGAAGTCGTGCGCCGGGCGCGTGGAGCGGTTCGTGAAGAGCTCCGTGGCGTAGACGTGGTCGTAGTGGCAGGCGCCCGCGGCGTCGAAGAAGACCTGCAGGAACTGGGAGCCCCAGGCGTCCGCCTCGTGGCTGCTCGTCCTCATGGAGTAGAAGACGTCCTTGGAGCGCGCCCACAGCCCGATGAGGGCGTTCACGCTGAGCTTCGCGAAGTGCTCCTCGCCCTCGGGCCAGCCCCCCTCCATGACCTCCAGCGCCCGCGCCAGGCAGTCGGGCGCCACGTGGGCCGTGGCCTGCAGGGACCACTTGCAGTCCGCCCATCTCGCCAGGCCCGCGTCGAGCATGTAGGCCACCGCCGGCTTCCCGTACCAGCCCGGGCCGACGTAGGGCAGCCGCGCCAAAAACCCCGCGCGCTTGTCCTCGCGCTTCCGCACGAAGGTGAGGTCTGCCAGCTGCCCCTCCTCCGCCGGGCGGATACTGTCCAGCGGGCAGAAGACGGGCAGCGGGAAGGGGGCGTTGGCCAGCGCGTTTTTCCGACACCGCACCACGTCCACTCCCTGGCACAATTTGTCGGGGTTACACTTCGACAGCCCGCACACGAGCGGGGGCAGGCGCGGGGAGCATGCGTAGCTCTCGTAGACGTGGCGGCAGAAGCGGCTCTCCAGGGTCGTGGCGTGGGAGCACTCCAGGAACGTCTTCGCGCGGTGGCACTCCAGGCACAGGGCCTGCAGCCGCTGCCGCTGCCCGAAGAAGGACTGGTGCACAGGCACCACGTGGTCCGCCTCGCAGCTGCCCGCGTGGATGGGCGCGGCGCAGAGCGCGCAGGCTCCCCGCTGCTCCCGCAGCAGCCGCTGCACGTCGCCGCGGTCCCGGCGCGCCTTCAGGAGCGCTGCGAAGACCTCGCTGGCCGCGCCGGCGAGCCGCTGCCCGCGGTAGACGAAGCCCAGCTTGCCCATCCACGCGTCCAGCACCTCCGCGTCCTCGGGGTACTCGTGGATCACGCAGTCTCCCTGCTGCCCCCGCACGCGCAGCCGCAGGTAGCGCCACTCCACGAGCCCCCGCAGGACCACCTTGGGTTGGTGGCCCTCCGCGAGCAGGCGGGAGCGCGCGACGCGCAGGTCCTTCGCCCAGTAGTGCCCTGGCTCGAGGGCGCCCTGCCACTCCCGCCACTCGCCGAAGGGCGGCACGGTCGACTCCCGCCGCTCCCCGCGGTAGCTCGGAACGTCCCGCGGCTCGCCGTCGCACCAGGCCACGGCCCGCGCGCTCTTGTAGAAGTAGGCGTGGTCGCGGTAGACGCAGAGCGCCAGGGCCCGCTCCTCCTTCACGGGCGGCTCGTAGCAGTCGATCATCTGCCCTCGGCAGTTGACGATGAACAGGGGCGCCTTGCGCCACTCGCAGAACTGCCGGATCTCCTTGCCGGTGACGCCCCTCTGCTCCCAGCCCTGGGGGCAGATCGCGTCGAAGTCCGAGTAGATCTCCTCGAAGGGCAGCTGCAGCAGCTCCGCGATTTGGCGCACCACGCAGAGCCTGTCGTCGCGCTCCTCGAAGGCGCTCTCCAGGACCTCCGAGCCCCTGAAGAGCTGGTAGGAGACGTCCCGCAGCGCGCCCAGCGGCTGGCGAAGCGTCACCTCCGTCTCCACCTGGTTCCCCGCCACCTGCATCGTCTGCTTGGAGACGCCCCAGTCCCGCGAGGCGTCGTAGGTGTACTGCTCCTCAGAGAGCTCCATGACCACGTCGCCGTCCGCGGGGTTCCCCATCTTGCGGAGCGCGGCCGCGATGACGTTCCGGTGCTGCTGCACCTCGCCCAGCCCGTCGTTCTGGCGCCCGAGGCCGTCCAGGATCACGGGCAGGAAGTCGTCCCTCTGGTAGGGCTGCCCGCGGCGCCGCCTCCCGCGGATCCTCACGGGCATGTGGGCAATAAAATCGGTCCACTTGTCACGGAAGAAGGCCTTGCCCAGCTTGGTGACGCGGTAGTTGCCGTCGGGCTGGAGGCTGCGCACTAGCTTCTTGGCGCCTCCCCGCAGCAGAATGTAGTCGTTGGGGCCGTCGCGCACGAGCGGCTGCGCCTCGTTGAAGCGCCGGGAGGGCGGGCGCCGCCCGACCAGCTGGTAGTAGAACTGCCCGGCGCGGGTGGGCTGCCCGTCCGGCCGGGCGAGCAGCAGCTGCTGGGCGTTTTGAAGACGCAGGAGCTCAGAGCCCTGCGGGGAGGTGCGCGCGGCGACGCCCGCCTCCACGGCCCGCCGGATTCTCTCGCGCTGCTGTGCCCATGACATGATTTATTACCGCCCCCTCGGCGGCGGCGGTCGGTCGAACGCGTTTAGAAGGGGCATTGCGGCTTGGGCGGCTCGGCCTGCTGCAGCATCACGTCCGTGACCTCCGCCAGCACGCCGCACTGGGAGCTCATCAGCCAGACCTGGCGCAGCTCCACGTGGACTTTACACAAGCAACCTTGCAGGGCCCACTTCTGCACAGGGAGCTCCTCGCCGTCTGGTCCCCACAGGCGTATCTTGTCGTAGTTCAATTTCAACTTGAGGAACTCCGTGCCGCGGGTGCTGGTCTTCAGCGCGCTGGCCATCCGCTCCTTCACCTCCTCGGGCTTCAGGGGCTTGCCGAAGATGCGGGAGTCGCGCTGAGAGTGCTCCGACAGCGCCTTGGTCACCAGCTCCTCCGTTTCGCGGAAGAAGGCCCGGGCGGCCTCGTCGGGCTCCAGGCACATGGACACGCGCACCGCCTCGGGGTCGCCGTAGCAGGATGGGTTCCAAATCACTTTGAGCCAGTCGCTCTTCCATGTGGGCACATCGCTGCCGCCCTCCGTACGCAGCGGGATATAGCGACCTCCCTTGCTGTTGGTCAGAATGTTGCCCAGCAAAATCGTCATGCTCCCGGTTTTTATTCTCGGCAGAAAAAATATGTCGCCCTGTGAACGCGCCAGCCCCGTGAGCTTCGGGGAGTTTCTGTGCGTCGCGCTGACGCTGGCCGGCGGCGTCGCCGTGCTGTGGGTCCTCGCGAGACCGTGGGAGGAACCGCGGTAAAACAAAATGCGGCTGCTCGAGCTCTTCTCGGGCACGGGGTCCGTGGGCCGCGCCTTCGAGGCCCGCGGCTGGGAGGTCACGAGCCTCGACCTGAACGCCAAGGCCCGCCCGACCATCTGCTGCGACATCCTCCAATGGCACTACAGGGACTACGCTCCCGGCCACTTCGACATGGTGTGGGCGAGCCCCGTGTGCACCGAGTTCTCCATGGCCCTCAGGAACCGCCCCCGCGACCTGCCGGCCGGCGACGCGCTGGTCCTCAAGGAGGTGGTGGGCCCTCGAGAACCCAGCCACGGGGCTGCTGAAGACGCGCGAGTACATGGCCGGGCTGCCCTACCACGATGTCACCTACTGCAAGTTCGGCTATTTGTACCGTAAACCCACGAGGATCTGGGGCAACCTGCCCTGGACGCCCTCCCGCGGCGTCTGCAGGAAGGGCGACCGCTGCGAGGCCTACGACGGACGGGGGCACCCGGCGAGCGCGCAGCGGGGCTCCCGCAGAGGCTATGAGGGCAGCTTCTCCAGGGACGATCTGTACTCCATTCCTCCCGCCCTCTGCGACGAGATTGCCGGGAGCGTCAGTTAAAATGTCCACGAGTGCTACCGCGCGCTCTGGGTAAAGAATGGGCAAGGTGCGTCTCTTCAAGACGCCCGACTACACCGTCAAGCAGCCGCCCGATCCGGTGGTCTGCAAACCTCCCGCCAACGGGATCCTTTGCGCGCCCTCGGCCAGCGGGAAGACTGTTCTGCTCGTGTCGATGATTTTGGAGCAGTACCGGGGCTGCTTTGAGCGCATCTTTGTTTTTTCGCCCTCTTGCATGGTCGATTCCGCCTGGCAGCCCGTAAAGGACTACGTCAGGGACGAGCTGGGCGTGAACACGGACCGAGAGCAGTGCTTCTTCGAGGACTGGGACGAGGGGGCGCTCCGGAAAATTATCGCCGACCAGAAGCGTATCACGCAGAAGAGTAAGGAACTGGGCCTGAAAAAACTTTACTCTGTTTTGGTGGTCCTCGACGATCACGCGGATAACCCCGCGGTCCACCGCAAGACGGGGGACGGCGTGCTGGACACGCTCTTCATCCGCGGCCGGCACTTCTGCATAAATACCTGGGTGAGCACCCAGAAGCTACGGCTGATGAGCTCCGCCGTGCGGGTCAACGTGATGTTTTACTGCGTGTTTCGCCTGCGGAACCAGCTGGAGCTGGACGCCCTGGTGGAGGAGCTCTCCGCCATGCTGCCGAAGGAGACCCTCTACGCCATGTACGAGGAGGCCACGCGTGAGCCCTATTCCTTTTGGATGGTGAACCTCCGCGCGCCCAAGGAAGACATGTTTTGGGTGCGCTTCGACCGGAAGTTCCTCCTAAACGGCGATGGGCAGCCTGCTGAGCCAGATGGCGGCCAAGCTGCTGGGGGGAGGGCCCCTGTGCGAGACCGAGTGCAACAACCTTAGGTGCTGCACCACGACCACGGGCGTCTACGACCCGAGCCGCCACTGGCCCCCGCCCGAGCGGCCCCGGCAGGTCTCGGAGGAGTCGGCCGTCAGCGAGTTCCCGGCGCGGCGCACGGGGATTTTCCACCGTAAGAGAAAGCTCATGACCTCCATCTATGTGGACTCGCGCCTCCGCGCGCAGGGCACGGACTCCGACTTCTCCTTCGACATCGGCGAGAGCGTGCACATCCAGAGCGGGGCCAAGCTGGCCGTCTACAAGGTGCGCATCGCCGACGCCTTCCTGAGCACGGACCGCGGGACGTTCCTGTACTGGGAAGACGAGGTGGCGGGCACCCTGCACTACGCCGAGCTCCCCGTGGGCGCGTACACGGGCCCTCGGCTGGCCGCGTGGATCAGCAGCAACTTCGCCGCGGCCACGTACACGGCTGAGACGAACGAGCTGGACGTCACCTACGACGGTGTGCGCCTGATCCTCAACGACGCCGAGCTCCGGCAGCGCTTCCCGGGCACGGGCTCCTACCCGCCGGGCGCCTCGCCCAGCAAGCCCCTGAGCATCAACCACCTCCTGGGCCCCAGTTACATCACGGGCTCCGTGCAGCGCTTCGTGTTCGTCCAGATGAACGTGTACAGTGAATTGTATCTTAGGTGCCCGTCGCTGGCCAACGGCGAGACCACGGTGGGTCCGCTGGGTCACGACATCCTCTGCAAGATCGTCGTCTCCAAGGGCGTGGGCCACATCATGGAGACCGAGACCTCGGAGGGCCACTGGGTTCAGCTCCACGGGCCCATCACGCTGCGCCACCTGCGCTTCAAGCTCACCGACTACCAGGGCAACGTCGTGAACACCAGGGGCACCAGCGTGTCCTTCCTGATCTTCTTGGACACTGAACGATAAATGTTTAATAGATTAAATGGCTGAGCAGGAAGATGCACCCGCTCCTGTGGCCGCCGAGCCCTTGGTGGCCGAGCCCCTGGCCGAGCCTGCCGAGCCTGCCGCGCCCGAGCAACCCGAGCCCGCAGCAACCCCACTCCCCGCCCCAGCACAGGTCTCGGAGCCGTCGGTGGTTCCCGCTCCCGAGCCGCCGCAGCCGAAGCGGAGAGGCAGGCCGCCGGGCTCCAAGAACAAACCGAAGCCCGCCCCGCCCACCGTGGCGGTACAACCGGTGGTGGCCGAGCCTCCAAAGGCTCCTCCGACGGCTGCGCCCGCGCCCGCACAGCCTTCGGAGCCCCCCGCAGCCCCCCAGCAAGAGCCAACCGAGCCCGTCCGTATGACGCCCTCGGAGGCCCGCCAAGCCCGGCACCTCTCCCGCGCAGACCGCTTCCACGAGCTCCTGCTCCGCAACACCATGGATCTCTGATCCTCTAAATGATGCCCTTTCCGGAGCGGCGCAACTGAGGGCCTTCCACAAACAGTACCCAAGCTACAACCTGACGCCGCTGCTCTACAAGAGGCAGCAGCAGCTCATCGACGCGCGGGCCTTCAACGAGTGGCTGGCCAACCGGCGGCTGCGCCAGGAGGGCGAGAGCTACGCGGACGAGCTCGGGCGCATGACCGACGCCGTGAACCGCAGGATCCCCCAGCTGAGGTGGGCCCCCGCCGAGCGGGCGGGCGTGCGCCGCATGGCGCGGGACGTGGCCGCTGGCCGGAATACTAGCGACTCAGGGGTGTATGGCGGCCTCATGTAAAGACATGGAGGAGCGGCGCGCGCACGGCTTCCGCGTCAAGCCCTCCTACTCTCAGGTGCTGGGCTTCATCGCCGAGGGCGAGCCCCTGCCCATCAATCTCCCGAACCGCAACGCATCCATCCTGACCTCCTCACATTTTTGGTTGACTGACTACCCGCAGAGCAGCGAGCCCGAGCCCGCGCCGCTGCCCCACACGACCGTGGACCCCGCTGCGGCCTACGAGGACGCCAACGAGGGCTACTATGGCGTGCCCTTCCTGCGCCCGAGGCCCTTCGACCTGGACAGCGAGTCGGACGTGGCCGTGGATCCCGGGCAGGCACTGAGAAACGACGGGTTTAACCCGCCGCCGGCGCCGGGCTTCCTGGGGCGGCTGCAGCAGGCCGAGGCCGCGGCGGGGGCGGCGGCGGGGCTGGCGGGCTCCGCCTCCGCCATCGCGGGGCACGGGCAGGACCTCTACAACGCCGCGCGCAGGGGCCGCAACTGGATTGACCGGAACCTGCGCATCCCGCGCACGCCCGAAGGCCTGGCGCCCCCGCCCGACGAGGTGGCCCCTCCGCAGATCATCGGGAGGCCCAGCGAGGTGGAGCCTCTCCTGGAGCGGGCGGGGCAGCAGTCCTCTGCCGGCGGCGTGGAGCTCTACGCCCAGGACCAGGCCATCTTCCTGCGCACGGCGGCCACGGGGCCGGCCAACCTCATCGTGGAAGCCAACACGGGCGGGATCAACGACGGGGAGGTGATCGTGAACTACGGCTTCCAGAACCTCTCGGACGAGAAGCTGAAGCACAGCGTGGAGCCCGCGGGGCTCGAGGAGCTGCAGGAGCTCTTCGACGCCGTGGCACCCAAGTGGTACCGGCGCACCGACGGCAGCCAGAAGCGCACGCTGGGCTTCATCGCCAACGAGGTGCAGGAGACGGGGCCCGTGGGCCAGGCGCTGTGCGGGAAGCTCGTGGACGAGGAGCTCGGGGAGCTCGTGACGCTCGACTACAACCGCATGTGCTGCGTGCTCTGGGGGATCTGCCAGGGGCTCCAGGCCCGCGTGGAGGCGCTGGAGAAGAAGAAGCGGGGCCGCTCGGCCTCATAAATGGCGGAGGAGGCGGCGCTCCAGTTCTTCCGGGGCCTCGCGGAGGAGTACAACGTGCGGGATGCAAGGAAGCTCCACCAGCTGGCCCGCCGGGACCACCCCGAGCGCAGGGACCTGACGGCGGCGCGGGCCCGCCAGGCCCTGCGGGGGGACGTGGCCCGGCAGGTGCTCGCGCCCAAGCCGCGGAGCCTGGGCAAGAGCGCGGCGGAGGGCCCCAACGACCGGCTGCAGGCGGACCTGGTGGACTTCTCCCAGAACACTCGGGGGAGGAACAAGTACGGGCTGGTGGTCACCGACGTCTTCACGCGGGAGGTGGCCACGAAGGCCCTGCCCGACAAGCAGGCGGAGACGGTGACCCAGGCCGCCGCCGAGATCATCCCGAAGCTGGTGGAGGGGGAGAGCAACTACGTGGTCTCCACGGACCAGGGCAACGAGTTTCAGGGCCGCGGTGCACCGGCACAAGCGGCCTGAAGACCGCAACGCACTGGCCGTGGTGGACAGGGCCATCCAGACGCTGAAGCGGGACCTGGCCGGGAAGGTGGCGCGGGACGGGGGCGGCTGGGCGGAGCACGTGGAGGGGGCCGCGGAGGCGTACAACAAGCGCCCGCACGAGGCGGTGCACGCGGCGCCCGAGGACGTGGAGAAGCAGCCGGCCACCACGTTCCGCGTCTACCAGGACAACGCGCGGAAGTTCCAGCACAACCGGGAGCTCACGGAGGGCCGGCAGCGGCGCCTCGCGGAGGCGGGGGCCTTCCGCGCCCCCACCAACGCCCAGAGGAGCTTCCAGCCCCAGTACGGGCCCGTGAAGCAGCTGGCAAGCTACGACTCGATGACGGTGCGGGCCACGGACGGCACGGAGGGCCTGCTGAAGCACGTGCAGCCCGTGCCCAAGGCCAGCGGGGAGCCCGTGCAGAGGCTCACGCAGCCGGGCGTGCCGCTGGCCGCGAGGCAGCTGCGGGACTTCAACCCCGCCCCTGGCCCTGCCCCTGGCCCTGTGGCAGCTCCCAAGGCCGCGCCGGCCAGGAGGCTGCCCCTGGCCGTGCGGCAGCTGCGCGACTTCAACGCCCCGCCGCGCAGGGCGCCGCGGGAGCTGAACTAGGGGCGCGTGGGATCCGAGCAAAAACTGCACAGCAAATCGGCTTCCTTACAAGCTAAGGAGGAGGGAATGCTGCCGCACACGGCCACGCGGACCGGGAGTGCTTCGAGAGGGGGGGGCGTGGGATCCGAGCAAAAACTGCACAGCAAATCGGCTTCCTTACAAGCTGAGGAGGAGGGAATGCTGCCGCACACGGCCACGTGGACCGGGAGTGCTTCGAGAGGGGGGCGCGTGGGATCCAAGCAAAAACTGCACAGCAAATCGGCTTCCTTACAAGCTAAGGAGGAGGGAACGCTGCCGCACACGGCCACGCGGACCGGGAGTGCTTCGAGAGGGGGGCGCGTGGGATCCGAGCAAAAACTGCACAGCAAATCGGCTTCCTTACAAGCTAAGGAGGAAGGGAATGCTGCCGCACACGGCCACGTGGACCGGGAGTGCTTCGAGGGGGGGGCGCGTGGGATCCGAGCAAAAACTGCACAGCAAATCGGCTTCCTTACAAGCTAAGGAGGAGGGAGCTGCGTAATGTAGGGCAGGGAGTGTTTGTTGCTGAGGCTGTGCTTGTTGTGTTCTCGAGGCAGCTTGTCGGCTCAAGGATGGCGCCTCAGCCCTGCCCGCACTGCCGCAAGGCCTTCCAGTGCCGCAGCCACCTGCAGCGCCATGTCTCCACCGTGCACCCGAAGGAGAAGCCCTTCTCCTGCGCCGAGTGCCACAAGAGCTTTGGCACCAAGTACGGGCTGGAGATACACGTGCGGGTCCGCCACCGGGACGAGCGGCCGCACCGCTGCCACTTGTGCGCCTACCGCTGCCACCTGCCGGCGGACCTGCGGAAGCACCTGGACAGCCACGCGAGGGGGCGCCGCGTGGGCTGCCCGCGGGAGGACCGCGTGGCGGCCTGGCTGGAGGAGGCGGGGCTCCCCTTCGAGCGCACGGTGCGCGTGGACTTCTGTGACGGCGAGGAGCCCGAGCTCGCGCGCCTCGACTTCGTGCTCTACTTCGCCTGGGGCGTCTGTGTGCTCGAGGTCGACGAGCACCAGCACGAGCTCCGCTGCCCGCAGCGGGAGCGCCGCCGCATGGAGCGCGTGCGCAGCCACCACCTGGAGCCGGTGAAGTTCGTGCGCTACAACCCCGACGCCGCCTCCGCCGGCCCGGAGGAGCGCCGCCGCCGCCTGCTGGAGTCCCTGGAGGCGCCGCCTCGGGACGGCTTCGAGGCCGTGTACCTCTTCTACGAGCCGGCGTAAAAAAAAACTGCACGAGTGTAGGTATCCCTTGTCAGCCATGACCATGCACGCACGACCATCGCACTGCCGGTTTCCGCAGCCTTTTGAGCTCTTAGACTCCTAGAGCCATGGAGCGTCTTCCGGGTGATGTCCTGGAAATGGTGGTGGGATTCATGCTCCCCACGCAGTGGTGCTGCGAGGAGATTGATGTGTGGTCAGTGCACTGCCATCACATAACCCGACGCATGTGGGAAGGGAACCGTCACAACCACTTGATGTTTTTCCTCGCGAATGAGGTGGAGCGCTTCCTGAATGTCAGCAAGGCAATTAAAACCCGCCTGCGGAGCTTCCGCCTGTACTACTACCAATGGGAACTGCACGATATGTTCCTTTGTGAGTGCCTCCGCCGCATCGAGAAAGCGGGCAAGTACCCCGAGCACCTGTGCCAGTACTTTCGGGCAACGTGGGAATCCGAAGAGCAACGCGAGAACATGCGCCGCCGCGCGCTGCGCGACTCTCGCATGCTGCTGGCCAGCCGCAGCCGCCGCCGCCCGCGGTGGGCCGCGTACGACATCGTCCGCGATGCCAGGCTCGACAACCAGTCGCACATCCCCTTGGAGATTGCCTGGGAGCACGTCAACACCTTAAAGAAAAACCTCCCGGTCTAAGCTCAACACGGGCACGGCGAACCGCACAGGCCGCCTGCGTCGAGAAAAAAGCGTCCACGGTTAGGGCACCGGTTAGGGCACCTGCTGGTAGGGCACCGCTTAGGGCCTCCGGCTAGCCGGTGTCGACTGTCGACGGGTACCCCGACAGGTACCCCAATTTCAAAATCGGGGTACCCATCGGGGTACCCATCGGGGTACCCATCGGGGCACCCATCGGGGCACCCAACCTCGGCGTAGCCGGTGTGGTTGCCCCACCCGATTGTGTCGCCACCCAATTGTCCCACCCGATTGTCCCACCCATTGTCCCACCCATTGTCCCACCCAGTGTCCCACCCGTCGACACGCGCGTTCGCCCTGGTCCGAAGCTAATCTCCAGCTCAACAAATTCACTCACCCGCTTACACAGCCAAGAGCAAACGCAGCCATGCCGAGCCAGCCTGCTCCGGAATCGAGGAAGATCAAGTACCTCACCAAAAAGAGCAAGGCCGATGGCGTGTCTCCTGAGGAGAAGGCGAAGTATGAGGCGCAGATCGCAGCCTTGAAGCAGAAGCGGTCGCGGGGCATCCTGGAGCGCCGACACATCACCGCGGAGGCCGACCGCGTCATCGCCAGCAACCAGGCTTCCAGCGAGATGGTGGTGGGCGAGGTGAGGCAGGGGACCGCCACGCTGGAGCAGCGCTTCGACCGCTTGGAGACCATGATCACTTCGGGCGCGTCGAGTTCCTCCGACCGCGACCAGCGCCTCGACGACCTGCTGCAGCGCCTCGTGGGCAAGCCCGGCAGCTCCAAGGAGATCCAGGCGGTGATCGACGCCGGCAAGGAGCAAAAGAAGCGCGCGCTCAAAGAGGAGCGGGAGGAGGAGAAGCAGGCCGAGAAGCGCCGCAAGGCCATGGAGCCCTTCGAGATCCCGCTGGAGGAGGGCGACTCCCACCAGGACGGCGTCGTCGTCCGTGCCGGAGCGGAGCGGCGGTTGTGCGACTACCAGGCCGACGAGCCCTTCGACTTCCACGGCGTGACCTGCCGCCTGGTGGAGATGGGAAACCACGGCGTGCGGCTCCAGCTGGAGCCCTGCGACGCGACCCAGCTCAAGGCCCTGCAAACCTTGCCGAGGCATCCCAGGACGGGCAAGAGCCTCTTCGAGCAGCTGCAGGCCGTCACCAAGCGCGGCGCCGTGGCGGCGCAGTTCGTGGACGGGAAGGTCAAGGAAGCCGCCACCCAGAAAAACATCACCGCGGCGCTCCTGGGCATGCGCTTTCGCGCGCAGTACTTCAACCCGGCCGAGTTCCTCAGGCTGAAGAGACCGGCGGAGACCGCGGCGGAGGAGTCCGTGCGGAGCCACGTGGTCGAGCAGGTTGCGGAGCCCGTGTGGAGCCAGGAGCCCCTGAAGGTTGCGGCGGAGCCGGAACAGGAGAGCACGGCCGCCAGCAGCGGCCTTGCGGACCCCGCCGAGCCCGACGAGCCCCTCGGCGAGCTTCACGAGCTGGACCTGAACGGCGAGAAGCTGCGCTTCACCGTGGTGGGCGTCTTCGGCTACTCCCCGATCGGACCCAGCTACCGCGTGCGCGTGATCCAGGAGGACGCTGAAGCCGCAGACCGGTTCGGCGACAGGGAGTCGTTGATGGCGCCCGTCTGGGACAGATGGCACCGCCCCTGCGACTTCAAGAAGCTGGAGGGCAGGGTCTACGAAATCAAACCGCGCCTCTGGAACCAGAGCGTCACCAAGCTCCAGCTGGCCTTGGAGGATGTCGAGGACGCGGAGGAGGCCCCGACCATGGAGGCCATGGAGGACGAGCCCCAGGACGCCGCCATGGAGGACGCGGAGGCCACGGAGGACGCGGAGGAGCCCCAGGACACCGAGGAAACCCCCCCGAGCCTGAGGAGCCCGCGGAGGAGCCCGAGGACGCCGAGGAAGCCCCTGAGCCCGAGGACCCGGAGCCCGAGGAGCCCGCGGAGCCCGCGGAGCCCGATGTGGAGACCGTGCTGGGCCTGCGGGTGCGTCGCGTGACGCACAAGAACGCGGAGTGGCTGGAGCTGGCGGCCAGGACGCTCGAGCAGTACAGGGCGGACCTGGAGATCCTCACCGCCAGCACGGCCAACGGAACAGTGGAGGCCTCGCGGCTGCGCTGGGGCACGAACAGGTGGGCCAACGAGCTCTACGCCATCAACTCCGGCACCGGCAAGCTCGTCGCGCCCAAATCCAAGAAATCCGTCGAGGCCGACGAGGCCAGGGTGCAGTTCCGCCTGAAGTAGGTCTCACCACCCACGGGGGCAGGACAGCATCGCCCCCCGAGATAAAGGCCCGCTGCCCGCCTCTTCTTTTTTTTTTGCACCGACCAAGGCAGGGGGAGCACGAACGCAACGGCACAGCTCTGCAGCCATTCAAGCATCACAGCCATGGACAGCTCGGACAGCAGCTGGGAGGAGGACGAGCGGCTCCCGAAGCCGCCGCCGCGGGTGGACCGGCGGAACCGCGTCTTTGCGCGGCTGAAACAGGACGTGAAGGAGGCCCGGGCCCTGCGGGCCTGCGGCGCCAGCTTCCTGGACCCGCACCTGCTGGCCTGGCGGGCGCGGGAGGCGGAGGAGCGCCTGGAGGCGGAGGACCGGCGCTTCCAGCGGGAGGTGCTGGAGGCTTTGCGGGCCTACCACGCCCGGGAGCACCGGCGCCTGCGCGCGCTGGGCACCGGGCTCCTGGATCCCGAGGCGGAGGGGAGCGAGCTCAAGCCCGAGAGGCTGGAGAGGACCGCGCAGCAGCTGGAGCACGCTGCGGGCCGTCTGCGCCGCCAGGGCCTCCCGCATCGGGCCCGCCTACTGCTGTGGCTCTTCCTCAACCAGGAGAACCACCGCCTGGTGCTGGGCGAGAACGCGGTGGACGCGATCGCGCGGCTGTTACGGGAGCTGCGCAGGTCGCGGCGCTGAGAGACGCGGGAGGGTAAAAAATTGGATAGAGGCTTGCAGCAGTTGCAGCCACGGAGCCTCCGCAGCTTTGCAGCCGTTTCCGCATCAAACAGCCATGGCGCCCCAGAGCGAGCTCTTCTTCGTGCCCCGCGTGGCCAGGCGGCGCCGTGCCGCGGGCGCCTTCCGCGCGCTGCCGCCCTGCCTGCTGCAGGAGATCCTGCTC